ATATCAGTTATAATAGCATGATATGTGTAGACATTTATAACGAACCCCTGTGGAAATACAAGGCAGAATGGGTAGCTGGAAGGAGAATTTTCAGGGCAGTACAAGACTTGTCACTACCGCTAGCAACCGTGAGCTGGTAATATTTTGTTGATTGATCGTTTTTGGTTGTTTAAACAATTTCTTGTGTTTCTTTAATAAAGATATGAAATCTCAAGTGGTATCTTTGTTTAAACATGTCAATAGTTATCTCCCTTCGCAAAATCCTACGCACAGGCAATGTTAACTGGTCAACAGGTTACATTTGGTAATTGCATTGAGTCCAATTTGAGTAGGAATTGAAACATTTAAGGATTGAATCTTGCTTTGGTAGATTTCATGGGGTGATGAATTGAGTTGGTCTTGAAACAAATTCAAAAATCAAATATGGCCGCCACGGCCGCCTTTAAAAAAAAATTTGATATGGCATTTATCTGTTCGACTGCATTTCATATAAGACGGGACCAAATAGATTTTGATTTGTACCGTACTCCCCGGGGTTGACACTGACACCAAAGGCAGAATGGGTAGCTGGAGGGAGAATTTCTAGGGCAGTACATGACTTGTCACTACCGCTAGTAACCGTGAGCTGATAATATTTTTCTGATTGGTCGTTTTCGGTTGTTCCAGAGACCTAAAGTAAATTTAGGTCTATGGTTGTTCGAACAATTTCTTGTGTAGCTTAAATTAAAATGTAAAATTTCATCAAGTGGTATCTTCTTTGTTTAAACATGTCAATAGTTATCTCCTTTCGCAAAATCATACGCACAGGCAATGTTAATCTGGTCAAATTCATCGGCAAATGAAACAGGTTACATTTGTTAGTTGCATTGAGTCCAACTTGAGTAAGAATAGAAATATTTCAAAAGACAATTGTTTAATGACACAATATTAGCAATGCGTATAACGCACACAATTTCTAATTAAGATTTCATCGTTTCTTATAATTACTTGCATTTCTGTTCTTTACCTTTATACTTTATAAAAACGCCCTTAGCACCAACTCACTTTTGGCTGTGTAACAGTACGTCTGTCCATGTGAGGAAGGCAGTAGTTTCTATCGAAAGGCTGGAGAATACTAAGGTCCTTAAAAAGGTTGCTGTTGTTTCCTAATAAACGTTAAGTGTTTATGATTAGCACAGACTGGTTTACCGATTGTCAGTATAATGTTAGCACAAAGACTGGTTTACCGATTGTCAGTATAATGTTAGCACAAAGACTGGTTTACCGATTGTCAGTATAATGTTAGCACAAAGATTGGTTTACCGATTGTCAATATAATGTTAGCACAAAGACTGGTTTACCGATTGTCAGTATAATGTTAGCACACATACTGGTTTACTGATTGTCAGTATAATGTTAGCACAAAGACTGGTTTACCGATTGTCAGTATAATGTTAGCACAAAGACTGGTTTACCGATTGTCAGTATAATGTTAGCACAAAGACTGGTTTACCGATCGTCAGTATAATGTGACAAGACGGAATAGACAGTGATCGAGGTTGCGCTCTTTGTTGGAATTAGATCAACGTAGGAAGCCCATGGGTTCTGTCCCTAAGCTTAGACAATCCTTGAAATTTTAGAAGTTAATCGCACCAAACGTTCATCATTTATTGTAATCGAAACGCACTGTCATTACAATGCTATCCAATGCCAGACTTTGCAGTTAAGGACTCCCCACCCTTCGTAATACACATGTTTTTCTTGTCATATTTTCGTGTTGTCATTTCCGTATTGCGTATCGGGCATTCCATTACCGTAGTGTAAAATATAGTAACACCGGGTAAACAATAGTACACGTGCATGACGAATCGATGATATGTCAACACCCGATATCGAGACTTAACTTGGAAATGTGTAATCACTGTGACACACGTACTACAGAAATAAAGCTTATGATACGAAGACATTAATTAACCCACGGGAAAACACTGACATAAGATCAGATGACTTCAAGAAGATCGTATATGAGGCACATGTAATGCAGACTGATGTGTTTTGTTTACCGACCTCACCTGTACGTATCACGTGCTAACTGTAGTTCACAAGCTCCAGCTGGTCGCTACGACTTTTGTTGTCGAGCGAGTTACGCTCTGTCAGATAAATCGTTTCACAAATGCAATAACATAACTGTGAAAATGATGGTTTATAAAATATCAAGATCCCTATAAAATGCAAATGAATGGGCGTGCACGTGATAACGGCATACCATACGATAGCCTATGGTTAAATATGTACCTGACATGTAAATATGCTATGCGAAAGCGGGCTACGGAGTGTACACGATTGAGAATAATTTTGGTCCATAAAAGAACAGTAAATTGACAATTGAATACAGTATTTTTTTTTAATTTTCGTCGGTTTTGGTATATTAAAGAAAATAAGTATCATTGTATAAATTCAATCCCTCTGCAAAAAGTTCCGACTTTTTTCAAGGTAGATAACTCTCATCAATATAAAAATTATTGTAAAATGTAAAATAAATGAATTATAAAGACTTTGTGTGTATTTGGTTCAATTTTTCACTCTTTTTTGTATGAAACTATGTGTCAAGTTTGCTTTTAGCTTGTATTTAATAACTTTTATCCATACAATTTCAATAAAAAACGGTTTTTGTAACATGTTGTAGATATTTGATGATAAATAAAATACTTTTAGGGTTGATTAGCATGATTCTTTTCATTATTTTATTGTTGTACTAGTTTTGAACAATGCCACACACTCAAAAAATGTGAAAGTGTTGAATTTGACAAAAAACTATTTTTTCGGTATGTTTTACAAAAAAATCCCCAGTTTATCGTAATGCTTAATTTTTCATAAAATCATCTCTACATAGTTGCATAACCATTACGTGAAACCTTTCATTGAATTCTGCTGGCTAATTGCGAAAGGGTGTGGCCTACTTAAGCTAGCAAATTCACAAAAACACCTGGCGGAAGGGAAGGAACTCCAATAGCATTGGCATATGTCCTGTGGAAAGCCTGTACAACACATCGCCCTACGTACTAACAGGATGTTACTATTCTGCCAATAACGGTAGTTGTTGTTCCCTTCTTAACGTTCAGCTTTCAGAATAATGGCAAAAACTGGTTCAGTATAATGTGACTGGCGGAATGATGTGCTGGGTGCATTCGGTATGGTATTTTAGTGAGATAGCACTATGAAGTCTGCATCAGATCAGAGACGTGTAATATTATACGTCTCTGATCAGATACATTCATTTTACAACGATGCACGCATACAAAACACACGTTGAGGCACGTCTTTAAGCGACCCATTTAATTAGCTTTAGAGGCTGTTGTTTGACCTTATTACAAGCACGGCACATACATATATTCATCCATCCATACACTACATACATGGAGGCACCTCCTTAAAAATCAAATTTAAATGTATAACAAGGGGAGCCTACGTTTGAAGATCTGTCTAGTCCTTCTTGGGGAAATAGTAATAGCAAACTTGAACTGTCAAACTCCAAGGTCAAAATCCAAGGTGGCTAATAATTATGTTGTAATGCTAACAAAAAGCTCTATAATTCTGAAATTAAAGAGGGCCGCCTGTAGGTCATCTTGGTTTTCCGTCGCTAACATCAATAAATTTAAGTAGGGACCATTGGAAATCTACACGGGAAATTCGATCAAGATCCCTCTAGTACTTCCTAAGAAATAATGCTTATAAATTTTAATTTTCAAAATTCAAAATTCAATATAACCATCTAGGTTTCCGCTCATTCCCAAAATTCGGTACGATTCATAAGAAATCTATGAAAGGTCCCTATAAAGCTTTCTGAGAAGCTAACAATAACTGTTCAATGGACGGAGGAATGGCGATTTGAACAGCCAATCATCTGTTGATGGTTTATACGTATACCATAACATGTGAAAATTTGAAATACTTGTTATCATATGTATGACCATTTCACTCGGTGGATGTAGTTTTGTCTGCAGATGTATAAAGCTGTGTAGGTGTCCCTTACTATGATCAGGCTTGATAAAACATTACACTTGCTAGGCCGTTAAGCAAGTCTCTTATGAGAAACGAATTTTGAGTAAATAAGATTAATTGTACAGGTGTTTTTTCTTTCTTCTTGGGTCACTCAAAATGAAACATACATAGGGAATGCTAAAATTCCCTCCATATTAATAATATACAAGAGGCCCATGGGCCTTAACGGTCACCGGAGTCCACAGTATTTTGTTGTTGTTGAAATAATGATGACAAAGGAGAATAGCATATTATTTGTCATACCACGGAATTAGATTTGATTTGTTATCTAAGTCCGTGGTCATACAAAAAAATGTATTTCACCAGTGCGAGGTCCATCAGTCAAGTATCACTACCAACTTTGAATAAAACTTAAGTGTTTAACACATATGAATGCCCTTTACCACAGAAAATGTATCTCGCTGTTTGACAATTTTCTATAAAGAGTAACAGTGACCTTAACTTTAGTAAATATTTTTTCAAAATGACAGCCGTGGCAGCCATATTGGATTTGTGATCGACCCGAAAAGTAACAACACCTTGTCAGGACCATGAGTCGTTCATTACTCAAAGGTTTCAGTCGTTAAATTTGCCCATTAAAAATTGACTTTAAGTTTGAAATAGTGTTTTTTTTTCAAAATGGTAGCCATATGCATATGGGAGATTTCTGAGCACCCGAAAAATAACTACACTTGAAATCCCTTGGACAGCCGTTCAGCTCAAGTTGAAAATGTAAAATGTTAAGGGACCACGCACGAAAGACGATGGTGGATAATAATCGGTCACTTAAGCTAAAGCTCAGGTGACCTAATAAACAAAAGGCAACTTTGATGTCACAGTAACCTTCAAGTTTTTTTAGTGCTAAGTCACAAAACAGCACGATTTGTGTCTTCTTTGACAGGAGACGGAGTATTATTCAGTCAACAGATTTTTTTTCATTTCTTGACTTACAAAGGAACAAATAAACACAAAGGCATAAATGTTAATAACTTTGAAATTGAATGTTTTATTTTGTATATCAAAGTAAATTCTCTAATATGTATAAAAAGTGATGGTAGAAATATGATTGTAAATACACTATGATTAACATTGAGACCTATCTGGCTATGGCTACAACATCTGTATAGATAGGACTTGTACACTGAATACGTATCAACATGATATACCTGTGCCATGGAAAATTTAGTTTGCTCTTTCAATTTTATAAATTTAGAAAATCAATATAGTGCGAGATTTATAAGCATGAGATAAGTCACAGTGTGAAAACATCCACGACAAGCTCATAGCTAGATCAAAGACTCCATGGCAACACGTTTCTTCAAATGGAATTTTGAAAACTGACAATTTTCTTAACAAGATCAGTGATCTGAAATACTTCCTACATAGTCCTAACCAAACAGATACAAAACAAGATATACTGACAGGCTAACCAGTAGACAACTTTAATGCCGGCTAATAAAGTATCTTTCACACAACCATATAATACACTGTCAGCACTTTATCAATCAATATAACAAATATAGCGGAATGTTATTATATCTCCAAATCACATTGTCATACTAGTACTCGACTTTTTCTATTAACAGCTTATATTGCTTGCGAACAAATACTTTTTATGGCAAATTGACATTATATTTGAGACTTCTTTTTTTAAACGTTTTGACAACATTTGTAAAAAAACAATTACAGATGTTTTGTTAATAACAAAAAGGAGTTTTTTTTATAATACTATACTAATTCAATACCTAATTGATATCACATGACTGTTTAGTTGTTACTATACTTATTCCATGCCTAATTGATGTCACATGACTGTTTAGTTGTTACTATACTGATTCCATACCTAATTCATGTCACATGACTGTTTAGTTGTTACTATACTGATTCCGTGCCTAATTGAGAGATCTTTCAAAATACAAAAATACAAAATATCTTATGTACAAAGTCAACATTTGTGTAAATAGCTATAAAGTATGTATATGAATGTATATATGGATATCAAATACTGTAAAGGGACTTAAAAAAATCAAGTCACATTTCTTAATGTGAAATAATGAATAGATATATGTATATGTATTAATTACAGACATGGAATGATTCATTTACATTAACAAACATCCAATACAGGAACAGATGGAAATACAAACAAAATTTAAACTGTCATTCCTGATAAATGGATCTAGATTTTGAATATTAAAGCTCAGCTTATTTCAGTTTCTCCCATGTTATAAACAAATTGTATGGAAACTGAACATCTTGATGTCTTTAAATATTCACATACATATACCGGTACATCCTAGCACTGAACAACATGGGAAATTATTATGCAAATAACCAAAGTTTCATCTTTTACTAGGCCAGTTTGATTGAGCTTATTCTTCATGAAGATATAAATCTTCATGATACCGGTATAATGGCCGTTCATCAACAACCGAATTTCTCAGTGTATGGATGCGGTGTAGCTTCTTCTGTCCCTCTCGCGTTTGGAGCCCTCGCTCTCATAGTAAGTGTAATCCAGGGCTGGTAGGTAGCGGTACTGCGATGCTGGGTTTCTGTAGAAGCCATCTTCTTGAAGTGCACTGCAATTGTAAGGTAGCATAGATTAGATACAAATTGCAAACAAAATCAACTATAGAATTTATCACCTGGATGTGTGAAGTTGTTTGAAATATTGGTTGTAGTGCAGTTGTTCATACCATTCTTTCTCAACAGTTAAAGGCTTTAACAATGTTGTCCTGTTTCGTAAAGTTTTCATTACATGAGTTGCACTTTACAATGGAACCAGCTAGTTATGAGATTTTATTTGCCAGAGATTTTGCTTTATAATAAACATATATCATAATAAACGATCGTTTTTAAGTTGTCTGAACCAGAAGTGAGATGTCCTATATTATCCTCAAACATAGATAGTGGTGGTGGAAACATCAGATTTTTTTATGTAAATTGTTATTGTAATACTTGAAATAAATTGTTAATTGCTATTTTATTAAGCTGTTCTGTTTCATAGAATTTTTCATAATACTGAACTACAATATCACCAACATTCAGGTAGGATTTTCAATAATACCTAATAATTAATTAATAGAAGCTAAGAATAAATGGTTTATTTTGAAACTTATTTTGGATGAATTCAACACTTTAAATTTTTGAGAGAAGAAACTTACATGACTTCCTGGCGTGGCATGATAAGTGAGGGTTCCCTGCAACACAAACATAAAGGATTAAGTCCAATCACAACCAAATGACCGAAATAATTCAACACCAAATGTCCAATACGTAGAAATACAATGGAAAGCTGGTAGGAGAACCAGATAATAAAAAGCAAGTATTTTGCAGTTCTGAGTAAAACTAATTCCATGTTATTGAAATATGTTTATTTCATCAAACAGTTGAGAAAGATGGAAGTACAATAGAAAGATGAAGATATACCAGGTACTTTATATAATATTCCAATTATATCAAAACTAATCTGTGTACAATTGTCATGGTGATCCCCCCTGCAGAATCGAACTGATTTCTTCCTTGTCTTCTGGTTAGGGGACATTGGAGAAACCAAGAACAGGCCTGCTGTATCCCACTGCATGTGTATCGTAAAGGGGGACTAATGTGGGTCCCCCTGCAGAATAGGGGATTTTCTTCCATGTCTTCTCCTGCCCTTTCTATCTACTTTCAATCCAAGGGAACTAACTCAAATAAATAGGAAAGTACCTCAATTCACATCCCCTTGATGTAAGTGTTATATGTACAAAGTATCAATCAAATCAGTGCATTACTTTATGAGAAGCAGGAACAATGTTTTCAAAAATAATTATGAGGCAATATAACTCCATCAAAAGGGGAAGTAACTCCAACCTAAAGACTGTGCTATATTCCTTTCATCTCATCATTAGTCCGAATTATTCTGACGTTTTATCGACTTTTTTTTATATCGGTCTGTCGTCGATTAACGTCAGAACTCCGGCCCTCTATAATATGCGGGAAATATGCGACCCGTGCCCGGAGCGCACTTCAAACTGATATTTTAGAAACAAATCCTCACTTTCACACACATGTCGCACATGGATCGAAAGATCTATTCTTTATACGCTAGGTGGTATCAATAACATGTTTCAAAGATCATTACGAACAGTATATTCCAACATTTTCTATACCAACCCATGTTGTTAATGGAAATTAGGGCATGAGCAATGTCACATGACTTGACGAGATCTCGCGTTACCGAAGGTATTTCCCAACATTATGACGTAGGCCGGCGAGAGTTTAGTCACGTGGCACTAGAAGGTGGGGCTATCAAAAAACTAGAGTAAAACAGAGTAAGTTTGAAAAAATATGTTTTAGTGATTGTATTGGTTGTTTAAGGCATGTAATTTATGTTCATCTTGTACATAAAGAATAGATCTTTCGATCTATGTGCGACATGTGTGTGAAAGTGACGATTTGTTTCTAAAACATCAGTTTGAAGTGCGCTCCGGGCACGGGTCTCATATTTCCCGCATATTATAGAGGGCCGGAGTTCTGACGTTAATCGACGACAGACCGAAATAAAAAAAAGTCGATAAAACGTCAGAATAATTCGGACTATCTCATCATGTGTTCAAAGTATCATTCAAATCAATGTAGTACCTTACAAGAAGAACCGAGAACAAATCTGTGACTACACACAGATGAAAAGACAACCCGATTCTATTAAGCCCTGCCCCCTTCCCCAACTTTAATTGTTGTGCGGGGTACAATAAATATTAAATGTGAGAGTTGGTGACATACCTAAGCAGAGATGGTTTCTCCACAATGATCCTCTTGGACTCGTATGCATCGTCTGTCCTGCACACACCTGTTATCAGACAGAGTAAAGATAATACAGATGAAGGAATTGGTAATTAGTAATGTAAACAGGAATGGTTGGCACCATTTCTTATAGGCTATTTTTTCTTTTGTTGTTTCAGTCACTTAAGTTTTACCAGACAACCCCCCTTGCATAAATGTGATGTCTCCCTATATCTTCAAAAATTAAAACTTGCTCTAAAGAATCGGAACGTTGCTGAAATTAGATAAGACGTTGAAAGTTTTGAACTTGTCTGTAAACACTACTCATCAACTTTCTTTGGATTAGAAACCATTGTATCAAAGGTAATTAGTCAAACAAGTCTTAATTTATAAATATCATCAACTCAGAAGCAAATTAATTTTCATTTATTTACTGAACTATAGTTATGAAACAGGTTTTATCAGCTACTATGAGTTGCTTCTGTAACACTCTGTGAACTTAATGAGAAAGTAAACAGAATTACCTGGAGAAAATCTCATGTGGACAAACAAGTAACCCTATACCTTATAACATTTAATTGAATCATGCGTTATATTCCTTCTATTTAATAATGTTATGTGGTCATGAAACTATAACAACATCAGAAAAGCAGGTATCTTTTAGTACTTGCAGTATTTTGATTGGTTTAGCATAGAAGGATCTCTTACCATGTGTTACACAGCAGCAGACAGCAATGATGACGATGAGAAGGAAGGCTACAGCTGCGATGACAATAGCAATAATAATTCCTGTTGTCAGACCAACATCCATTGGTGCCGGAGTGGTAGTGACGACATCTCCTAAACAACACCAAAACAGGGAAAATGTTCAACATCATTTTCATGCACACACTTGAACTTGTATTTTAACTAAATTTAGAAATTGATTCTCTTCGTATACTGTATCAATTCACTATATAATAAGGTCTATATTCTTCTGCAAATAATGCTTTAAAATATATCTGACTTTGTACTCCATTCTGAAAACCTACTGACCGACTATCTTCAACGAAACTGGCAATTGATATGTTTGAGCACTTTTCCAAGAGGATGGTACATATTTACTACATTTTCCAAAAAGAACACTTTTGCAACCAAAATGAACCTTACCCGATTGCACTGTGAAGGCGATAGCTGACGACTGTCCAATGGAGTTGGTGGCGTAACAGGTATAGACGCCGTAGCTGTTGGTGTCTGCAATGGTTACTTGGTACACAAGGCTTTCAGCATTAGAGACAGGGTTTCCATCCTTGAGCCACCTGTAGGTCTGCACCGCTGGGTTAGCCACTGTGTTACACTCCAGGTTCTTCTGGGCATTAAGACTTAGGGTAACGGTGGCTTCCGCTACTGTAATAGTGCTGATAGGTTTGTCTGTAGACAAATAGGATGTACACAAATTACTAAACAGCCTTGTGACAATGTACAGTACATGTATATGAATGCTTGTCTGGTGTGTTATCAAGGATTAAGCAGTCTGTGTTGTTCTCTTTGTCAGATATTTATAACTTTGTCGTTACAACTTTTTTTAACCATAAACAAGCTTAACAAATATCCATTTACTGTGCTAGCCTGAGCCCGTTCTAACTACTTCTAAGCTTATTTATATACTATTAGTATTATCTGGACTATGTCTGGAATATGTACCTTATGAATGTGGATCAAAAACAAGACTTTCCTTGTACGCACATGGTTAAATAGCATTTAATATCATCAAGATGGTTAGGATTTCTGTCCCACCGCACTGTGGTTTTTCTATATATGTGGTTACTTCCCCTTAGTTTGGTTTTCGATATGATTGTTGCAAAGTTGTGCAAGGATATTTATGTTGCCCAGGTAGCACAGTATGTTAGAGTGCTAACAGTCTGAAGACCAGGGTTCGAATCCAAGACTATTCTGAACTTTTACAATCAGAACACTGATGCAAATTCTTTTCTTGGTTTACTTCATCTTAATTACTTTTCATAAAATTCCTGCAAGGCATCAATTTCTTTAAGATTTTTTTATATAAAAGCTATAGCCTTGCCGTATTGGTTTCCTGTGCATAGTTACAGTTTATGGTAGTGATACAGGGATCCTAAACTTAACATTCAAGGTTTAAATTTTGTAATTGTTCTTGGAATATTAATCCAGTCCCACTTCAACAGCTTGAAATGGAAATACACTGTATATACCTGCAGCATTTCAATTAAACCTAACTGCAACAATTCTTGCACAAACTAGTGATATTATTAATAGCATTCAAAGTTTAATATGTACAAGAGAGCAGAGCTTTGTTCTGATATCTGTACACTAAGTGATGATAATGAAGAGATAGATAAAGTTCCTTACACTGTACATCAACAGTTAGTCTGGCCGTGTCCGACCCCTGGCTGTTAGTGGCAGTACAGGTGTAAGTGCCATCGTGTCCACGGTCAATGTTGTTGATTTGTAGGATCTTCTCATTTGACACGATTTGGCTGGTGCTGTCCTTGATCCATTGGTAGCTAGCCGCAGGATTGGCATCAGTGATACACTCAGATGAGACAGATTCGGTTTCTCTGCGTGTCACAGCTGATGGGTTCACCACTGTGTTTCTTGGAGCATCTGAAAACAAACAATTTTTATGTAACCTTGTTTTAAGGTGTGTAAGAGCACACTCTCGCAAAAATATCAGTAAATCTGGTATCTATATGGTGATAATGTTTTCTTTTTATGAAAGTATTTTTATGAAGTAAAATGCATGAGAAAAGACATGAAGATGCTTTAAATTGTGTTGACTTAAATAACTTTAGGCTGAATTTCAACAAAGCAACGAAACTAAGGTACAAGTTTACCACTGCAAAACTTATGTGAAAATATCCACTTCAGAGCTGTTCGCAAGGAGAAAATATTAAAGGAATTGTGATTTTTTTGTGATTTTTTTCCCAATTAAAGAGTTTCCTCCCTTAGCAAGGTATTTTATCTTTCATTTTAAAACTGCATTTGCAATATGTTATGTCCCAATGCATACCCCTGAAATTCTATATCCCCATTTTGCTTATTTTTATACATAATATAATACACAATTTACATGATGGATTGAAGAAATAGATAAGATTTCAGAAATTCAATGCATTATACCTAAACTTGAGGAAATGGACATCAGCCTTTTTGTCATGCGTGTAATCATTTGCAGTCAAGCATTTCATGATTCAATGCACTGATTTTAAATAAATTTGTGAAATGTTTATAATATACCAACTTAAAAAGTTCACTGTATATATTACTTAAAGTCACAGTCCATTTACTCAAGTTTTACTGCTTTTCGTTCTGGGTATGAACATGCGACTTACAGGCGACGATGAGGGATGTGAGACCACTCTGTCCTATGCCCACAGTGTTGACGGCGTTACAACGGTAGCTACCCTCATCAGATACAGCCAGAGTGTTGATGATGAGAGATGGTGTGCCAACAGTGGAGCCGTCATACTTGTTCACAGCGGTGCTAATGGTTGAGGTGACACCATTAACTATCTTCGTCCAGTACACCGAGGTGGCAGGGGGGGACGCTTCCACAATACAGGCAAGTGTTGCCTGGCTTCCCACATCCACAGTGTAGGCTGATACAGTAACACGTACCGATGGCAGAGCTAGAAACAAACATATAGTCAATTACAGGACAAATAACACTCATTATATACAAGTAAAGGTTCCGAGAGAAAAAATCTATTATTCCACCAGTGTTTCTTTTGTTTTTGTTATTATTACTCATTTAGAATTAGAGGTACAGAAATAATTGTTGATACAGTTTAAATTACTTATGTACTTTGAATAATTTAACATGAAAGAAAATATTGTTGTATTCTATATTCTAGACATGTCTTACCATATGTAGTGAACTGCATTCATAATATGCAATGTATTTAATTTAATTTTATATTTTATATTTATTTAACCATATGTGCTGCACTCCCAATATTTTCATTATTGACCAATGTTATAATAACCTTTTTTATTCGAATGTATTCTGCAAAAACAGATTTATGTTGAAAAGATGATGAACCATTTGTGTTTGAGAGACTTAAGATGAGACAACTTACTTCCAGTGACGTAGAGATAGACATCGGAGCTTTCACCCTGGCCGACACTGTTGGTTGCCTTACACTTGTAAGACCCCTGGTCGGTGAGTTTAGCTGAAGAGATTTGGAGAGAAGGTGATGCCAAAGTACCGCCGCTAAACCTCGAGTTAGTCAAGTCCACAGTACTGATCACTCCATTACCGTTAGTGTATTCCCACATCACTGTGGTGGCCGAGGGCACGGCTGTCACAGTGCACGAAATTGTAACTGTGTCTTCAAGCGAAACACTGTAAGAACTCTGAGGAACAGTCACAGTGGGCAGGTCTGAAAATATTATAGATATATAGCAGTGTCTATATATTTAACTAGTTATACAATGTTTCATATAGTTCATGAAAAGAATTAAAACAACATGTTCACAAGTTTTATTGGAATGGAAAACAAATCAAAAGTGTAGCTGATCTTATTTCAATCTATCTCATATGGCCCTTGAAACATCTGTTTCACACAACATTAAAATTAGTTGAGCTGTATTCTAGTTTTAGCATTTTTTGCACTTAAAATGTTGTGTTGAATTCTGATTGTGCTAATTGAAGTTTACATATATAGTTTTCTGTTCCTTATATTGTGAGTGTGCCAATTTATCAATGCAGCTAATCTGTTGAAATTTGATAATATGCTAAATTTGGAGTGTCATAAAGAAGGAACTTATACAATAACTAGATTATTATAATTCCAGGGCAATGCTAATAAATATAGGACATCCGGAGCACCTCATAAAAAAAAAAAAAATACTTACTTCCTGTTATGTAGAGATAGGCCTGTGTGCTCTGACCTTCTCCGACACTGTTGCCAACCACACAGCGGTAGAAGGCCTGGTCGCTACTGTCTGTTCCAGTTATGGTCAATGTGGGGTTGGTCAAGGTGGCGCCACTGTACTTGTTGGTTTGGGTTACCACGATTCTAGTGGTCTGGGTGTTGACAATCTTGTTCCAATAAATGGAGGTGGCATCTGGGGTGGCACTGTAGTCACAGTCGATAACGGCAGTTTCTCCGAGGACGAAAGAGTAGGATGGCCGACTGATCACCACCGCTGGAATATCTGTCACACACAACATTACCGAGTTATATGTACCATCAACAGTTTACATCTACAGTCAAAGTGTTGGTATTCATCAAAATTGTAATAACAATATATACTTGCCAACATTTGGAATTTTCATGAGGGAGATTTTGCGTGCTCAGAACTAAATGCAAAACAAAATGCGTATGCACACCCAAGTAAAATAATAACAGATTTAAATGGCACCATTTGAGCTGTTCTGTGAGATAAAATAATCTGATCTTAGAAAACAGGAATAGTGCTCAGTTTTAGGGTCCAAAAATGGTAGTCTCCCACATCAATAGGGAGAGTTGGCAAATATGACAATATACATGTACCATATTAGTGCTTGTACAGTTGGCTCAAGCGACCATCTGTTTTATGCGACCACTTTTTTATTTCTTCTGACTGTTTTTACTATGTTATTTAACTATATTCAGAAACTATCTAACGCGACCAGCGACCACCCAATACTGAGCCAAAAATTATGATAAACAACCACATTTGATACATTTTAGTGACAATGTTTGATGAAAATATACCGAACGGTCGTTGAAATAGCTGTGTAACTCCAATTTTGCGACCGTCACCACATTTGACGAAGGGCTAATTCACGATCTTTTCACCAAGTTCAGTGAACAAATTTGACAAAACCAATTTCCAAACTTATAATAAATTCATTGATGTGCAGAAACAAAACAAAAAGTCATTTTTCTAACTGCCGAAATTGTTCATTTAGCAGCGAAAAATATAAACTAATATGTATCGCAGTTAAGCAAAACCATTTTGATTGTACGAGTGTCCTGTTAGGCAATGTAACCTTGAACCCTACAATATCCTCCATCTGACTGGATGAAGTACACTGGCGGGTTTTCATTCTTCAAATTGGATCTGTTTAGAGATGTTCACAACAGCACTCACATGCAAAATCAACATTAAATATCAGCGCAACTGCGCACTAAACATGTTTATGTTAGCACAAATATTTTTTCCAATTCCTCATCAATATTAAAAGCCTTTAATAATTTCTCAGCGCCAAAGTACTTATTACAATAATTCGATCCGTTTTTCGGCAACATGCTGTAGAGTTTGTTGAGGTCAATTTTTCAACTGGATTCTCTTTCCAGTTTCCATCGTAAAATAAAGGAATACTACACGTAAACCCATCTGTTGGACCAACACTGGAACTGCTATCATTTCAACCAAAATATTTTTCGTAACAAGTCTCCGTCGATTGTTTGTTCCGAGTGAAATGACAATTCTTCTCAAACACTCCTAGTTGTTTGTTTACTATCAAAAATATCATTCGACTATTGTTTAGTTATTCACCTGATCTGTTGAAAGATGTTGTTTTAAACTACCTGTACATACATGTGCAAATGTACGCTTGGACTGGTCTGTTTACAGTTGTCTGAATAAGGAGTCGTTTGGTCGGCAATCTGATTAAAATCATATGTTACATGGCTTCATTAACATCGTACTACGCCTGAACATCTGAGTGTGCCGCGGTCAGGGTCACGTTCAGGTGACCTTTATATTTATAAATACTCATTGGATTTTGACCAATCAGAGACCCTCTTTCAAAAGGGTGCTCGGAGTTGTCACAAATATGGCGGACATTGATGAGAATGATGCGAAAGTTCTGAAGTTATTTGAGATTGATCGTCTGAAACCCGAACAGAAAAAGATATTTGAAACTTTATTAGAGAAGAAAGACTATGGTGGTGTGGCCTACGCCATTATTACCCAATGGGTACGTTATCCTTGGCGTCGTAGAAACGTCAGTTCCTGCCGCCATATTTGTTTTGGAAAACTAATCTGTTCGATACCCCTCGATATCTATCTATTAACCATGATATGCCGATTCGCTGGCAAACTTTTGCCAGCGCGCCTTTGATTGGTTCATCTAAAGGTCACTTGAACGTGACCCTGACCGTGGCACATTCAGATGTTCAGGCGGAGCCATGTAACAGATGATTTTAATCAGATTGGTTTGGTCGGTTGTGTAATTGTACACAATATGGTCAAACTTCATTAAACGATCACTTTTATTAAACGACCAGTTTGTTTTTTTAAATTTCCCTTGGGTGGTCGCTTAATACAGATTCCACTGTATTTCTCACAACCGTAATTACAAAATACCATAAAAGTGTTGGTATTTCTCACAAGTGTAATCGCAATATACCATAAAATTGTTGGTATTTCTGACAAGTGTAATTGCAATATAACATAAAAGTGTTGGTATTTCTCACAAGTGTAATATCATCATATCTCCAGTAAAAGTGTTAATATTCTATAAAAGTATATTAACTTGTAAAATCACAGTTAAAAGAGTTGGTTGTATTTGGCTGTTGTGTGTTATTTCAGTTCGGTGGAGAACATGTCCAAATGTAGGCGTCTGGCTCATTATTGACCACTGTCTGGTGTCTTTATTAGGATCTATAAGTAGGTGTCTGGCTCATTATTGACCACTGTCTGGTGCCTTTATTAGGATCTATATGTAGTCGTCTAGCTCATTATTGACCACTGTCTGGTGCCTTTATTAGGATCTATAAGTAGGTGTCTGGCTCATTATTGACCACTGTCTGGTGTCTTTATTAGGATCTATATGGCAATGTGACATACCAAGCAGATGAATAGTTTTAAAGTTTGATACTCAGTCATTGAGTGGTTACTTACTGCCAGTGATACTCAAGTAGCCCTGTGAACTCCTTCCAATGCCCACACTGTTGATGGCAATACAAATGTAGTATCCTTGATCATCTGAGGCGACTTGATTGATGGTGAGGGATGGGTTATTGACAGCTGAGCCAACAAACTTTGTACCATCAATGGTGAGGGTGGTGGTCACTCCACCTATGATTCGCTCCCAAGAGATGGAGTCGGCCTGTGGTGATGCTGCCACAGTACAGTCTAGGGTGATGGAAGATCCCAAAACAGTTGTGAACTGTGGGGCCACAGTCACCTGAGGAATACCTGTATGTAGACATTGTTGTGTTAGAGAATGTGGCCTATCATGTCCGACAGTAATGATTCAGTTATTTTTTTTATTAACATGCATCATGAAAGTAAAATGATTTGATTTTAAAGACCAAAAATAAACAAATTTAATAATGATCCCTTAATGCATTAAAACTGCCTATTACATCTGCCATGTATACTTGATTATTGAGAACTTAATTTAACTAATAACAGATACCTTAGAGTATATTATTTTAAAAGGAATCAAAACGAATTTGAATCGTTATATCCAGTTTCTTGATCGACATGAACTTACTAAAATATTCAAATATTGAAGGAGTTATCAATGAATCAGCAACAGTAGAAAAGGAGCTGTAATTATTTTACTAGGAAGAGGTCCTACAACAATTTCCCGATGTTTCTTAGTTTTTTATACATTTTATCATGTAATATAATACCAATTAGATTTGCTGAAAGATATTTGATGCTCAACTTACTTCCTGACACAGTCAGGTAGGTCTGGATACTATTAGCAGAGCCGACACTGTTTACGGCTGCACAGACATAATAGGCCTGATCGTTGTTGTTGGCGTTGTTGATTGTAAGACTGGGGATACTGGAGGAGCTGCCCTGGTACTTAGACCCATCGATGGTGACACTGGTGGTCACAGTGTTACCACCTGAAGCAGTCGTGACCTTTGACCAAGTGACACTGCTGGCGGGGGGACTTGCCTGTACGGAACAAGGGATCTGTATAGATGAACCAGTGATCACGGAGTAGGCGTTGGACGGGATGGTTACGGTTGGTACAGCTGTAATATTGCAGAAATATAGAGACATAGTCATGAGTTAGACTGTCTGCAGATAAAAGGAGTTAAATTGAGGATATTTAATGGATAAAGTATTTTTTTATAATTAGTACCAAAATTACATGAAGCACACTGTCGAGACAGAACAAATAAATGTAATATAGCTCAACTCCCAGCAAATCTATATTCTCAATCTCTCATATCCCTCAATATTCCAGATTTTTAGGGGAGTTTCCCAATTTTCTATGCTTAATTTTTACTTTGACATAAATATACTTAATTCTGAAGCCTTGCTTTCAAATCACTTCATAGAATAGCCGAAGAAAGGCATGTACAATATTATTCTATCAAATCAGGGATGTCACATTTTATAAACATGTTACAGATATTTTAAAAAATCCTACCTATTAATTTCCCCAAACAATTTTAAAAAGTTGCCAGGTATGCATACCCTAGGTAATTATTTGATTTGAAGTAAAACCTACCAAGTAATATGAACTGGAAATTGACTGACAAAAGTACCATTTTAGTATCTCAAAGAAGAGAATCAAATTCTTCACTAAAGTTATACTTTTAAACAAAACTTGCATATTGCGACAAGGTTGATGCTTATAATACTAAGCTATACACAGTGCGATCCCAAAGATGATGTACCTCCTGTGATGGTGAGGTAACTCTGGCCACTGGTTCCCGTGCCAATACTGTTAGTGGCGGAACAGATATAGTATCCCTGGTCAGCAGAGGTTGCAGCGACGATAGTGAGAGATGGCACACTGGTGGAACCCCCACTGTATGTAGTACCATCAATGGTGATAGATGTTAGGGCACCGTTAATGTTGGCCCGTCTGGACCAGGACACAGACGAGGCTGGCGGGCTGGCTGTCACTGTACAAGGGATGGTGATAGAGGTGCCAGTCACTACATTGTAGGACGGATCGGTGATTGCCACTGTAGGTATATCTGTAAGGAAGAATCAATGCAAATAAGATCAGTACATAGGTAATGTATTTCTTAAATGTCAGCTGCTTGAATGAAAGTCATAGGTTACAGTGCAGAATTTATCTGCTGTAGTCATAGGACGAAATTGTGAAAAATATTCATGAAAATTGAGGTAAATGACCTTTTATGGTTAAGGGAGAAATATTTATTGGAAGTAAATGACATCTATATAAAGGGTTTCAGTAAATGACCTCCTGTGATGGTCAAGATAAATAATCCATATAAAAGGTGACAGTAAATGACCTCCTGTGATGGTCAAGAGATAAATATCTTTATTAAAGGTGACAGTAAATGACCTCCTGTGATGGTCAAGATAAATAATCTATATAAAAGGTGACAGTAAATGACCTCCTGTGATGGTCAAGAGATAAATATCTTTATTAAAGGTGACAGTAAATGACCTCCTGTGATGGTCAAGAGAGAGAGGTTAAGTAAAAGGTAAAGGTTGCTTACCTCCGGTAACTGACAGAGTGGTTGTAGTACTTCTGCCAGTACCCACACTGTTGGTAGCTGTACAAACATAGGTCCCAGTGTCCACACTATCGGAAACAGCGATGACCAATGAAGGACTGTTGACTGTTGAACCAAGGTAGCTAGTGCTGTCAGTAGACACACTGGTGGTGACTCCACCCGAGGTTCGTTCCCAGGCAACAGAAGTTGCGGCTGGTGTACCAGATACTGTACACTCAAGTGTGACTTGCTGACCTTTAGTTACTGTGTAGAATGGCTGCAGCACTTGGACAATGGGTAGTGCTGAAAAATATATATTAATTTATAGCGTTATTGAAAGCAGTACAGATGAACTAAATTCTGATACGAGGCCCTAATTCTCTAGGAAGTTTGTTTTTCTCAATAGAAACCACAAATGGTAGTCGTTTTGCAAAAATCAAGAAATATTCCATATAATTAGTTTGGAAATGAAAAATTGGAGAAAAGACTATTGATGTTGTATCATTTGGAGTAGAGCAACTTTTCCACTTTTCAGTGAAATGTGATGCAAGTAAAAATTTGTTGAGTCATATAATGTCACTTAGTATAGGAGTGTCCCTCTAAAACATAAGATCGATTGTACCTCCTGTAACTCCAAGGTAGGTCTGAGAGCTGGTTCCTGTTCCGACAGCATTGGTAGCCTGGCAGACGTAGAAGCCCACATCGCTGCTGCCAGCATTGGTGATCACAAGGCTTGGTGAAGTCACAGTACCACCACTGAATTTGGCATTGTTGATGGTGACTGTAGTTGTAACGCCATTGGCAGTTTTTGTCCAGATAACGGTGGAGGCTTGTGGGGTCGCCGTCACAGTACACGTAAGGGTAGCAGTAGTACCAGTGGTGACAGAGTAGGAAGGTTGTGCAATCACGACAACTGGAGCAGCTGTAGGCAATCGAAACACCTTATATTAGAAATGCTTGAAGAAATACCAATAAGAGGATTAATGATTACGAATAATTTGTTGTGTCACAACTGAACATGACATCCTCATTATGTTTGTACCGTTCACAATGGTTTGGTGTCGATATACTGTAATATTTTAGACTCCAAAATTCAAATAGTGCATGAAAATCCACAACAATATGTTAATGAACATGCATACTGTTTATTACATTTAAAATGTATAAATTTCTTGGCTGTGTATTCATTAAATTGCTCCAATTGTTGCAGTTCAATGTTTTTTGTTTGGAAGTGAGGAATGCCCATGAATTTGCACTTATGCCAATATGACCAAAAACAGTGAGTTACCTCCAGTGACCGAGACGGTGACTTGCTGGGACTGGCCAGTTCCTACAGCGTTACTGGCCTTACACACATACACACCACTGTCATCAGTCTGGACACTATACACAATGAGGGAAGGCGAGCTAGTGGTCGAACCACTGTAGGATGTTTCATCGATTGTCAACCTGGTTGTAGCACTATTTACAGTTTTCTCCCAGTAAACCACACCAGCAGCAGGGCTGGCTGATACAGAGCACTGGAGTGTCACATCGGAACCAGTAATGACATTATAAGTTGTCTGTCCAACTGTCACAGTTGGTGGATCTGGAATACAAAATATCAACCAAGTATATATCATGTGTACCCCGTATATATCATTGTGTACTCAGTATATGTGTATATGTTATATATCAGGAATACTCAGTTTATAGCATGTGAATTCAGTATATGTGTGTATGTTATATATCAGGAATACTCAGTTTATAGCATGTGAATTCAGTATATGTGTGTATGTTATATATCAGGAATACTCAGTTTATAGCATGTGAATTCAGTATATGTGTGTATGTTATATATCAGGAATACTCAGTTTATAGCATGTGAATTCAGTATATGTGTGTATGTTATATATCAGGAATACTCAGTTTATAGCATGTGAATTCAGTATATGTGTGTATGTTATATATCAGGAATACTCAGTTTATAGCATGTGAATTCAGTATATGTGTGTATGTTATATATCAGGAATACTCAGTTTATAGCATGTGAATTCAGTATATGTATGTTATATATCAGGAATACTCAGTTTATAGCATGTGAATTCAGTATATGTGTATATGTTATATATCAGGAATACTCAGTTTATAGCATGTGAATTTAGTATATGTATGTTATATATCAGGAATACTCAGTTTATAGCATGTGAATTTAGTATATGTATGTTATATATCAGGAATACTCAGTTTATAGCATGTGAATTTAGTATATGTATGTTATATATCAGGAATACTCAGTTTATAGCATGTGAATTTAGTATATGTATGTTATATATCAGGAATACTCAGTTTATAGCATGTGAATTTAGTATATGTATGTTATATATCAGGAATACTCAGTTTATAGCATGTGAATTTAGTATATGTATGTTATATATCAGGAATACTCAGTTTATAGCATGTGAATTTAGTATATGTGTATAGCATGTGAATTCAGTATATGTATGTTATATATCAGGAATACTCAGTTTATAGCATGTGAATTTAGTATATGTATGTTATATATCAGGAATACTCAGTTTATAGCATGTGAATTTAGTATATGTGTATAGCATGTGAATTCAGTATATGTATGTTATATATCAGGAATACTCAGTTTATAGCATGTGAATTTAGTATATGTGTATAGCATGTGAATTCAGTATATGTATGTTATATATCAGGAATACTCAGTTTATAGCATGTGAATTTAGTATATGTGTATAGCATGTGAATTCAGTATGTGTATGTTATATATCAGGAATACTCAGTTTATAGCATGTGAATTTAGTATATGTGTATTGCATGTGAATTCAGTATATGTATGTTATATATCAGGAATACTCAGTTTATAGCATGTGAATTTAGTATATGTGTATATGTTATATATCAGGAATACTCAGTTTATAGCATGTGAATTTAGTATATGTGTATAGCATGTGAATTCAGTATGTGTATATTATATTCAGGAATACTCAGTTTATAGCATGTGAATTCAGTATGTGTGTATGTTATAGATCAGGAATACTCAGTTTATATTGAGTGTACTCTGCATACATCCTGTACACTCGGTAAATAGATGTTGTCAAATGACAGTTTCCATATCCTCTCCGTATCAGTTACACTTGATATGCACCCTGATATTGAGTATTAAATGGAAATGGTCATATTGTAACCTTTTTTATCATTCATTGTATACTGCTCTATAACATCAAAATTATTAGTAATAACACACAAAAAATGTATATTTCATGAGCTAGCTATAATCACATGCTACTTAAATAAAACACAATGAACAGTGTGTGTACCGACAGTATGAAGTGCGATTGGGCGGATATGGTGTGTCCCGGGTGGAAATGGGTTGGTCTATGCACAAATAGCAGTATCAGACATGCAAAACAACCCATGGACAAGTATACGGTAAATAAATTTGTATGTATATTCAGATGATATAAAGTAAACTTTCAGAAATCATGTTAACATGTATGTGTAGAGATCATACAAATCTTCTGATATGATGAGCCGATCATGATCTAATATCTTGGCAGCATTTTGTTTGAGATTGGACTTCAGTTATCTTTATTTTGCACAATGGAATTTAAAGCACAATTATGCCTACCTCCAGTGACAGAGAGAGTCACTTGAGCGCTCTCTGAGGTGCCAAGTGAGTTTGATGCAGAACACTTGTAGATACCAAGGTCGTTACTATCCGCATTGAGAATCATCAAGGACGGACTGCTGACAGTAGCCCCGGAGTAGCTGGTGCCATCAATAGTGATTGAAGTGAAAGGTCCATTGTTGATTGATCGCGTCCATGCAATACTTGTCACTGCTGGGTTGCCAAATGCAGAGCACTGGAGGGTAACTGTTACTCCGGTGAGGATTGAGTAAGATGTCTGGGCAACTGTCACTGTTGGTGGCGCTAAAATAACACAAAACAATCAGGAAAAATGAAATCAAGACTCCACAGGTGGGGAACAGGTGCATAACAAGAGATCCCAGGGGGACCTTGGCGCCCACCATTGTACCATCTTCATTAGTTCTTTGTCAGTTCGATCTTTTCTCTTCTTTCCTCAAATCTGTTTGATCGAGTCATGTTAACAGTAAATGCACCTTGAGGTAACTTTTGATCTAAACTTAATACTGATGTGTATGAAAGCCAACTTTCAAAGTGAGTTTGTCATTTCACATATTTACTAGTACAGTACTTAATGTGAAAGGAATAGAATTGATCATTGCAATATGAGAAAGATCTGTTTAGTTCTTCCTTTAGCCATTTTGTTTTTATAATCAGTCTCAAAATATAACATGCACAACAAGGGATCAATGGGAACCTACATATAAAATTTGAGAAAGATCCAAGATAACTGCCTGTCGGCCATGTTGTTTATCCGATCAGTCTCAAAAGTTTCCCTGCACAAATAATGACCAAGGGGAACATACATATAAAATTTAAAAAAAGATCCGTCTGGTACTTCTTGAGAAATAGCGATAATAAACTTTCACTATCAAAATCCAAGATGGCTGCCTGTCAGCCATGTTGTTTATCCGATCAGTTTCAAAAGTTGCTCTGCACAGGTAAGGACCAAGGGAAACCTACATATAAAATTTGAGAAAGATCCCTCTGGTACTTCTTGAGAAATAGTGATAACAAACTTTCACTATCAAAATCCAAGATGGCTGCCTGTCGGCCATGTTGTTTATCCGATCAGTCTAAAAAGTTGCCCTGCACAACAAATGACCCTCAAGTAATTCCGGAGAAATAGCGATAACAAACTTTCACTATCACAATCCAAGATGGCTGCCTGCCCTGCACAGCTAAGGACTAAGGGGAACCTACATATAAAATTTGAGAAAGATACCTCTGGTACTTCTTGAGAAATACTGATAACAAGAATTGTTTAAGGACGGACGACGGACCACGGATGCAGGGTGATTTGAATTGAGCTAAAAAATATATTAATGAGATACTTGCAAAAGGCAGGAAATAATGTGATTGATTTATGATCCCCAGCCTTGCAAGAGCTATGGAAAAACAAGTGTTGGGAATTGCTCATTAATGATCAATTTTTATTTGGTTAGTGACCAATCACAATCATTTGGTTAATACAAATATCTCATATCGGAAATTGTGTAAACTCGCCTCTACTAACAGACAAGAATACCTGGTTACTATGGAAATTCACCTCTACTGACAGACAGATAGAAATGCCTGGTTTCGGTGGTAGCTAACCTACATTGATCGAAAGGAATACCTGGTTACTATGGAAACTAACCTCTACTGACAGATAGAAATGCCTGGTTACTGTGGTGACTCACCCACACTGACAGACAGGAATACCTGGTTACTATGGTAACTCACCTCTACTGACAGATACAAATGCCTGGTTACTGTGGTGACTCATCTACACTGACAGACAGGAATACCTGGTTACTATGGTAACTCAACTCTACTGACAGACAGGAATACCTGGTTACTGTGGTAGCTCACCTACACTGACAGATAGGAATGCCTGGTAACTATGAAAACTCACCTCTACTGACAGATAGAAATGCCTGGTCACTGTGGTAACTCACCTCCAATGACAGATAGGAATGCATGGTTACTGTGGTAACTCACCTCCAGTGACAGACAGGAATACCTGGTTACAATGGTAACTCACCTCTACTGACAAGATAGAAATGCCTGGTTACTGTGGAAACTCACCTCCAGTGACAGACAGGAATGCCTGGTTACTATGGTAACTCACCTCTACTGACAAGATAGAAATGCCTGGTCACTGTGGTAACTTACCTCCAGTGACAGACAGGAATACCTGGTTACAATGGTAACTCACCTCTACTGACAAGATAGAAATGCCTGGTTACTGTGGTAACTCACCTCCAGTGACAGACAGGAATGCCTGGTTACTGGTTCCAGTGCCAACAACATTGGTGGCGGTACAGACATAGAAACCCTGGTCGTTCGTATTAGCATTGATCACATTGAGGTCTGGACTGCCCACAGACCCACCACTGTAGTTGATGTTATCAATGGTGATTGGTGTGGAGACAATATTGCCACCAGTGGATGTGATCCTATTCCACATTACACTGGTGTGAGAAGGATTAGCATTCACTGCACAGTCAATAGTGGCTGTTGAGCCCACTAGGACATTGTATGCATTCTGGGATATGGTTACAACAGGAATGGCTGAAAAATTGAGGAAGAAAATAGCACAATTATACAGGGTGTGTATCACTTTCAGTTTAACATGTAAACTACTCCCTAACACTGTAATTGAAGATGTATTATTTAAGCATTGAACTGCTTTCAGTTGGCATTCACTGACATAATGTATGTCAACTGGATAAGGGCCAATTCAATGAAACATGTTAGCACTTCATGTTGGATTGAATTGCCTTTGTCCAGAAGGCATTCAAATTGATAATGAATGGCAACTGAAAGCAGTTCAATACTTATATTTACCATTTTTGGTATCTGTTGGAAATTGGAATTCACTGCACCTATTATTATCCAGCAATTAGTTCAAAATAATGTAAATAAATCATATACAGGTGGCATGTATATTTTTATACCTATAAAGATGTAAATTTCCCGGACAAGTTAAGTTGGCTATATACAAGAAAATTTTGGCCTATGTCTGTAAAACCCATATTTGCCAAGCGATAGTTTCTCCCTTCATATTTGATTAATTACCTTCTCATGCAATTTACTAAAGTTTGCTTAAAAATAAATGTTAAGTATAAAGCAAGCATAAGATGATTGTTGTAACCCCTGCTGTGTTCTGATCTCTAACAAACACAGTATGCATGTAGTATTACTTTGATCTAGCTATTAACAAATTTAAAGATATTCCAGTCACTGAAAGGTAAACAGATATTATGTCACTTACTTCCGGTTACATCTAGGTAAGTATTGGAACTCTCTCCGGTTCCTACCACATTGGTAGCCTGGCATTTATAAAAACCCTCATCACTGCTTTGTGCATTACTGATTGTCAGGGAAGGAGTTCCGATATCACCTCCAGAGTACTTGTTGTTATCAATGACGACAGGTGTCGATGCGCCTCCCACCAATCGTCTCCAGGCCACAGTCGTAGCAGCCGGGTTGGCATTGATGGTGCACACAAGAACCCTTGTCCCCCCCGTGGTTACGGTGTAAGTGGTCTGGCCCACAGTGACGACGGGGAGATCTATACAACAGCATCACAACGTCAATCCCTGATACTTATTTACATGTATATCCTACTAGGCACTTCTAGTCGAGTGTGTTACACAAATACTTAAAGAACAACGTCAATCCCCGATACTTATTTACATGTATATCCTACTAGGCACTTCTCGTCGAGGGTAAGAATTCACGATTATATCAAATAATTGATCAAATAATAAAAGGTAAGCATGTTGAACAAAATTTGGTCCTTATAAAGGAATAAAGGGCCCAACCCTGGCAGTAGTCAAGCCTATTTACATCGGACAAAGAAATGTTTTAACCTTGATCTTAAAAGATGATGAGAATAAATCCTGCTTGTGCTGCTGTTGCAGTCGGTCTCACCTAGATATCAGATGTACTCTTAGTTTTCAAAATATCTAACAAAACACATCATATTACTACTAAAACCTTCCTTCACTCATTTCCGATGAAATCCAAGTTTTGGTTACAGATTAACACACATTTCCAAAAATCTATTTATTTTTGTAGTTGATCTTTCAACAACATATTTTCAAGGATTTGAATTTGTGAAATGATAAACTATAGCCTTGTTTTCCTTAGACCTAGAATAAAGTATGACATGGCTGAAGTTTATCATTTCATTTAGATAATAGTAAGCCACACTCTATACACACATTTCCCCCCAAAACAACGGACCTTGTAGTTTTGACTATTTTCCTACTGAGAGAATTCAATGAAGGTCTCGTAAGCCCACTCCCAGTATGAAAGCAATATTTCTTTTTGTTCAATATATTTATAGAGTGTCCTTTTTCTAACTTACAAAACAAACCTGACCTCTTTCTGAAATTGTACAATATTTTACAATTTTAAAATCCTGTAAGATGCCATAGCTGTCAACCCTCCCTCATTAGGAGAAACTCCCTCGTTTTAATCCAAATTTACCAATCTCCCTCCAAACTCCCTCATTCAAGTCGAAACTCACACAAACTCAAAAATCTACATCCTGTGGTCAAATTATCTTCTAGTTACTGCAATGTGTGAGTAATATTCCATAACAGGTGTGTGTGAATCAAATGAATGTTTTTTGGAGTTTAATTTGATATATAACAAGAGTACCGCAGGGCGGAACAATATACACCCGTTGAATGCCATAGAGTGTTATATACTTTCTTGCATTGAAATAAGATCTCTCTACATCATTCTAAGAGTGGTTAGCTGACATGCTATAAAAAATGTAGGAGAAAATCAAGTACCGATATGAACAAAGGGCAATAACCTTTGCAAAAATTGTCAAATCAAAATTCTATTAAGGGAGACACAACTTCATATCATGAATATAATGCATACAAGTTTCAAAGAGATCCGTTGAAAAATGTAGGAGGAGATTGCCAGACAAACAAAAGTTTACATCGGCCGGCCAGACAACCCCATACCATAATACTTCCGTCAAATTTGACGGGCGTATAAAAAGTTAAAGATATATTGAGCAATAACACACTTTCTCCCTACATTACAGTCAAGTTATGGTGTGGTCTATACTTACTTCCAGTTACAGACAGTGTGGCTATAGAACTCTGTCCGGTACCCACAATGTTGGTTGCAGTACAGAGATATTGTCCCTGATCACTCGACTGAGCTCCATTGATGGTAAGTGACGGCACACTAACAGATGATCCTGCATATTTGCCAGAAGTTCCAATGCTGACAGCCTGGTTGACCCCATTGATGACCCGAAACCATTGGACAGAGCTATGGGAGGGGCTGGCAGTCACGGTACACACCAGAGTCACAGGACTTCCTGTCACCACACTGTAGGAGGGCTGGGCAATAACCACTGAGGGTACATCTGCACAACAAACATTAAATTATGTTAGCTTTGGGTCAGTCCTGGTGTAAAAGGGTGGATGAATCAACAAAGTTACAACTCCCCAAACCCCCNCTCAGCTGAACATTTGAACTTTGGCCAGTTCCAACTACATTTGAAGCCTTGCAGACATAAAGGCCTGAGTCGGCACTGGTTGCAGAAAGGATTGTTAGAGATGGACTGTTGAGCTGTGATCCAGAATATTTCAAATTATCAATGGTAATTTGATTGGTGTTTCCTCCAATGGTCCTCTCCCAGAATACATTATTGTGGGCTGGGTCTGCGGTCACCGTACACTGGATGGTGACATCATTTCCTGTTACTATGGAGTACTGTGTCTGCTGAACGGTCACAACAGGAATACCTGGCACATAGAAAAGTTGCATCAGATACAAGCTCAGGTTGAAACACACTTTTAGCCACAACCTGTCTATAACAAGGAAATTTGTGGAATTCAGATTCCCTACTGTGATGTGCTTGCATACGTAACAGAATCTAATAAGATAAATAGTACCACTTCTTCAGTTATATTGCGAAGGAGTGTTACATTATTTCTATTTGCAAGCTACATTTGAAAAAGATTTAACAAACATTTTACAATAGTGACAACGGTAATAATATTTCACACTATTCCTAGATATTTGGTGACACAATCATTTTTTGCTAATTATATGTGCTAAGATCCTACATGAATGATTTAATTATATTTTCAACAAGATTCAGCAGTTTGGAAATATGTAACATCAAAGTTTTACTTTCTACACAAACAATGTATGCCTTTGTCAAACTATTAATAATATTTTTGTTTTAGACCCCTAACTTACTTCCAGTGACCACAAGAGCAGTTGGAGCACTCTGTCCAGTTCCCACCGTGTTGGTTGCAAAACAGATGTATGTGCCCTCATCTGCTTGGTCAGCATTATAGACAATGAGAGATGGAGAGTTGACTGATGATCCACCAAAGTTGGTTCCATCGATAGAGACAGCCTGGGTCTGCCCATTGATAACGCGCTGCCAGAAGACTGTGGAATGTGTAGGGTCAGAAGATACTGTACAGCTTATAGTCACCGTTGTTCCGATGGTAATGGTATAGCTTGGTTGGAGAATAGTGACTGTGGGAACAGCTGAAAACAAGAAAAGAATTTGATTGCAATGAAATGCCGTTGTGTGGTATCTAGTCACTTGTTACTGACATGGTCAAGTATACAGGTCACGTTATAGTATCATGGATGTACCTACCGTTTGGTTACAACAAAACTATTTTTATGGCACTTTTTAATTGAAACTAACTAACCAATCAGGGTAAAAAATCAAAAAGCCTCAGTAATAAGATTGTTATTGAATGGCAAATATAGTGATGGGAAATGAAATTGTCGATTTTCTCCAGAAAGCGTATGATAAAAGACTTGTATGAGCATTGGGTTAAAGGCTAACTAACCTCCAGTAACACTCAGTGATGTCGGGGAACTGGTTCCTGTCCCTACAGCATTTGTCGCTGAACAGGTGTAGCTGGTGATATCACCGGCACCAGTATTAAAGATCGTCAAACTGGGAGAGTTGATTCCAGACCCAACATATTTGTTGCCGTCGATGCCAATGGTTGTATATACTCCATTGACCAGACGTTGCCAGAAGACCTGTGTGTGTATAGGGTCAGATGCCACAGTACATCCTAGCGTGATGGACTGTCCAGTGATGACCGAATATGTGGGTTGTACAATGCTCACAACAGGAATAGCTACAATACAAACAAAACAATCAAACTCTGCTAGGCTCTGCACAAATACTATCACTACAATAACAATACAATAAAACTTTGCACAAATACTATCACAATACAATAACAATACAATAAAACTCTGCTAGACTCTGACCAAATACTTGGTTTTGTCAGTACATCTATAAGGGCAATGAAAACAACTAAAGTTTTGAAAGAAGTAGAAAAATATTCATTATATAAAACAATATTGACATCTCAGTTCAAAATTTGATAAGAATATGTGGCTTGTTTTATGTATGATAAGAATATGTGGCTGGTTTTATGTTTTTTTATCGAAGAATCTAATAATTAAACAATTTATTTTTCTAAAAAGTTCACACTTACTTCCAGTGACAGTAAGTGTTGTCTGGGTACTCTGTCCAGTTGCAACAATGTTAGTGGCAAAACAAATATACTGTCCCTCATCAGATTCTGCAGCATTGAAGATGATAAGAGATGGGGAATTGACAGTGGAGCCAGAGTATTTAGAATTATTGATCCCCACAGCCTGAGCCTGACCATTGACGATGCGCTGCCAATAGACATTAGTATGTAGAGGTGTGGCAGAAACCACACATCCCAATGTGACAGACGCTCCAGTAACAACACTGTATGCATTCTGTGAGATGGTGACAGTAGGTGGCGCTGTAACAAAGGAAAATACACATGTTGGAAACTAATTAGATGACAAGTACAAATGTATCGTGAATATATCAGAGAGCCATGAAACTATTTTTGTGCATATGGGACTATAGTAAATGGGTATGCATTAACTCAAGTCAAAACTGTTTAACAAATTGAAACTCTTCGTAGAGATAAAAAAATAAACCATTTTGCTTATACTTGAATTTTTTCCCTTTCTTGTTATAAAACTGTCAGTAAACCAAGGACCATTAACAGGATCCTTCAATTGGGATACAAGTTTAGAACATTTTCTTAAAAAAAATCTGTCTTAACCAATAAATCTTTGTTCCTACATGTATCTTGATTTTAAGAGAATTATGATACTCTTGCAACTTCTGACCTTACTTTGGATTGATTCAATAGAAGCCCTAGTTTGTCTTATTTTCTGATGATAGGTTAAATATGATGCTTAAAAATGTACGTGAAATCATTTGTATTTAAAAACTGGTTGATAGAAGTTAATTTTCCCAAAAATGATACTTAAATGGGTTGAGGGACTGAATTTGTTGTGTAAATAATACTTTTCAGTTTGCTACAGTTTGTGTACTTACATCCAGTGACAGACAATTGAGTTTGACCACTGGTTCCAGTTCCCACAGCATTGGTAGCAGAGCAGGTGTAGACAGTTGCATCATTAGCCTCAGCATTAGAAATAGTAAGTGATGGGTTGCTGATGGTGGATCCGCTGTACTTGTTGTTGTTAAGATTTATGTTTACTGCGACTCCATTATCAATTCGCTGCCAGTAGACTTGTGTGTGTGCTGGGTTAGATGATACAGTACACACCAAGGTGGTGGACTGGCCAGTGATGACAGAATACGAGGGTTGGGCAATCACCACAACAGGTAGGCCTAAAACAAAATGATGTATGTTAATTGAAATCAAAGTTTCTGATCACCCGTTAATATGACAGGTAATGTAAAGTAACGTACAACTGGAACAATCTTCACAATTTGTACCACTGCAGTGGAGGATCCAGAGATGATTTTTGGGCTTCAGGAAACCCCCTCCTCGAGAATTGTCTTTAAAAATCGTATATTTTCACCATTTTACTCAATTTTTTCCCACTTGGAAATTTTGGAAACCACCCCATATAGGTCTCTGGATCGGCCACTGCATTGATTCACACTTCACATGTACCACTGATACACACTTCACATGTATCACACTGATACACACTTCACATGTATCACTGATACACCCTTCACCTGTACTACTGATACACACTTTATATGTATCACTGATACACACTTCACATGTATCACTGATACACCCTTCACATGTACCACTGATACACACTTCACATGTANTGTCACATGTATCACTGATACACACTTCACATGTATCACTGATACACACTTCACATGTATCACTGATACACCTGTCACATGTATCACTGATACACCCTTCACATGTACCACATATACACACTTCACATGTATCACCCTTCACATGTATCACTGATACACACTTCAAATGTATCACTGATACACACTTCACATATATCACTGATACACACTTCACATGTATCCCTTATACAACCTTCACATGTATCACTGATACAGACTTCACATGTATCACTGATACACACTTCAAATGTATCACTGATACACACTTCAAATGTATCACTGATACACACTTCACATATATCACCCTTCACATGTATCACTGATACGCCCTTCACATGTACCACTGATACTCCCTTCGCATGTATCACTGATACACACTTTACATGCATCACTGATACACCCTTCACATGTATTGCTGATACACCCTTCACGTGTATCACTGACACACACTTCACATGTACCATTGATACACACTTCACATGTACCATTGATACACACTTCACATGTACCATTGATACACACTTCACATGTACCACTGATACCCCCTTCAAATGTATCACTGATACACACTTCAAATGTATCACTGATACACACTTCAAATGTATCACTGATACACACTTCACATATATCACCCTTCACATGTATCACTGATACGCACTTCACATGTACCATTGATACACACTTCACATGTACCACTGATACACCCTTCAAATGTATCACTGATACACACTTCACATATATCACCCTTCACATGTATCACTGATACCCCCTTCACATGTACTACTGATACACACTTCACATGTATCCCTTATACAACCTTCACATGTATCACTGATACACCCTTCACCTGTACTACTGATACACACTTTATATGTATCACTGATACACACTTCACATGTATCACTTATACACCATTCACATGTATCACTGATACACACTTCACATGTACTACTGATACATACTTCACATGTATCACTGATACACACTTCACATGTATCACTTATACACCATTCACATGTATCACTGATACACACTTCACATGTATCACTTATACAACCTTCACATGTATCACTGATACACACTTCACATGTATCACAGATACACACTTCACATGTATCACTGATACACCCTTCACATGTACTACTGATACACCCTTCACATGTACCACTGATACACCCTTCGCATGTATCACTGATACACACTTTACATGTATCACTGATACACCCTTCACATGTATCACTGATACACCCTTCACATGTACTACTGATACACCCTTCACATGTACCACTGATACACCCTTCACATGTATCACAGATACACACTTCACATGTACCACTGATACACACTTCACATGTACTACTGATACACACTTCACATGTATTGCTGATACACCCTTCACGTGTATCACTGATACACACTTCACATGTACTACTGATACACACTTCACATGTATCACTGATACACACTTCACGTGTATCACTGATACACCCTTCACATGTATCACTGATACACACTTCACATGTATCACTGATACACCCTTCACATGTATCACTGATACACACTTCACATGTATCACCGATACACACTTCACATGTATCACAGATACACACTTCACATGTATCACTGATACACACTTCACATGTATCACTGATTCATTAGTGTTACGTATGTACACTACCATATAACAGTTAGGTATTCCTTTCCCGCACATACATAAACCTCCCTTTATATACATAAACCTCCCTTTATATACATAAACCTCCCTTTATATACAGTAGCCTCCCTTTGTATAAATAAACCTCCCTTTATATACATAAACCTCCCTTTATATACAGTAACCTCCCTTTATATACAGTAACCTTTATATACAGTAACCTCCCTTTATATAAATAAACCTCCCTTTATATACATAAACCTCCCTTTATATAAATAAACCTCCCTTTATATATAGTAACCTCCCTTTATATACAGTAACCTCCCTTTATATACATAAACCTCCCTTTATATATAGTAACCTCCCTTTATATACAGTAACCTCCCTTTATATACAGTAACCTCCCTTTATATACAGTAACCTCCCATTATATACAGTAACCTTTATATACAGTAACCTCCCTTTATATAAATAAACCTCCCTTTATATACATAAACCTCCCTTTATATAAATAAACCTCCCTTTATATATAGTAACCTCCCTTTATATACAGTAACCTCCCTTTATATACATAAACCTCCCTTTATATATAGTAACCTCCCTTTATATACAGTAACCTCCCTTTATATACAGTAACTACCCCCGTTAACTTCCGTTTGGATGTAACTGTAGCACAGTTTTACTAGGCCACTGCTGTTGACCAGGTAACTCAATTAGTTAGAGGGATTTTACACAATCTGAAGTCCAGGGTTCGAATCCCAGTCTGGCCCAGCTGATTTGTTACACTCAGACCACTGTTGTTGATCGATGTTTTGTTCTCATAAAATCCCAAATGTATGGTTTTCTTTTCGGAAATGATTTATCAAAGCTATAGCTAGTTTCAAATACCTAGTTACAGTATTTTGCAGTGGTAAAGAGATCCTTAAATTTATATGTTAACCATGTTTTCTTAAACCAGGTTTGTAAAAAAGGTGTTTCAACCAATTGTTACATTTTGGTATTGATGAGTTTCCTTTAAAATTATACAAAATAATATTGAACTATTGATGGCATATTATCATGTTAGTGTTTTCAATGATGTATTTGTTTTTATTATTGATCTCTTCAAGATGCAATGTTCCTGTGATTTTACTTACTTCCTGTGACACTAAGCACAGTCTGGGAACTCTGTCCTGTCCCAACAGTGTTGGTGGCAAAACAGATGTACGATCCCTGGTCGGAGGCTGCGGCATTGGAGATCACGAGACTTGGAGAATTGACAGTAGCACCTGAATATTTGTTGCCATCAATGGTGATAGACTGTGCCTGTCCATTGTTGAAGCGCTGCCAGTAGACTGTCGAGTGTGCTGGGTCAGAGGTCACAGTGCATACAAGAGTTATGCTCTGGCCTGTAATCACGCTGTATGCAGTCTGTGCAATGGATGGTGTTGGAGGAGCTGTTAATATAAAAGTGATATTCTGTTGAAGGTACAACTATGCACACTAACCTGGGCCCAAATTCATGAAAACGGCCTCAAGTATGGATCCAACCAACTTTTTTCTAACTTGTGTTAATCATGTGACATGGTCAAGACGTCAAGTGCAAACATTGAAAATGGTCCTTTGCTTCAGTCTTTTCCAAATTCTTCTGAAAATCTGTCAAAATATGACTTTTTTTTATGAATTTATCAAAAAAAATGAGCAATATGGCTTGAGCACAGAAACTGAATTTTAGCAAGAGAGTAGCATCTCATATCTAAAATACCTGATATTTATGTTAACATCAATACTGGAAAATGGCTGTAAGGTTTGGTTTGGTTGATTTGGTTTAATTTTGTTTAACGTCCTGTTAACAGCTTAAGTCATTTAAGGACGTGCCTCCGTGTGTGTAGTGTATGCTTGCTTGTGTGTGTATGCAGGAGACAGGGTATGATGGTGTGCTTTGCCTTTCTTGGGCAAGGACCAATTCCAGTTAAATTAATAGTAATGATGTTGACCTTGGTTTCCTACATTATGAACTCATTATGAACTCAAGTATTCTCTCACCATTCACCTAAGTTTGTGTATAGCTTGATTAAAAGTCTGTTATCAAATGAAATAAAAAGCAATCTAACATTAGCAACGGTGAACACCTTATTTTCATATCACATATGTATATTTCGTTTTCATAAGTCATAGCTATCTCCATTTTTTGTGTTGTTTTGAAGGGCAGTGGCAGCTTTTTCATTGACTCTTTGAAAGTTCTTTTAATTTCGTTTAGTACAGAAATCAAATGGCTGAAAAATGGGTACCCGATTGGACTTGAAAAGGTTATTGGTACTTGATAGGATCTGAAAGGGTTGTGGGTACCCGATTGAATCTGAAGGGGTTGTGGGTTTACTGATTGGACCTGAAAGGGATGTGGGTACCTGATTGGATCTGAAAGGGTTGTGGGTACCTGATTGGATCTGATAGGGATGTGGGTACCTGATTGGATCCAAAAGGGTTGTGGGTACCTGATTGGATCTGAAAGGGTTGTGGGTACCTGATTGGATCTGAAAGGGTTGTGGATACCAAATTGGATCTGATAGGGATGTGGGTACCTGATTGGATCTGAGAGGGATGTGGATACCTGATTGGATCTGATAGGGATGTGGATGCCTGATTGGATCTGAAAGGGATATGTGGGTACCTGATTGGATCTGATAGGGGTGTGGGTACCTAATTGGATCTGATAGGCATGTGGGTACCTGATTGGATCTGAAAGGGGTGTGGGTTTACTGATTGGGACTGAAAGGGAGGTGGGTACCTGATTGGATCTGATAGGGATTTGGGTACCTGATTGGATCTGATAGGGATGTGGATGCCTGATTGGATCTGAAAGGGATATGTGGGTACCTGATTGGATCTGATAGGGATTTGGGTACCTGATTGGATCTGATAGGGATTTGGGTACCTGATTGGATCTGATAGGGATGTGGGTACCTGATTGGATCCAAAAGGGTTGTGGGTACCTGATTGGATCCGAAAGGGTTGTGGGTACCTGATTGGATCCGAAAGGGTTGTGGGTACCTGATTGGATCTGAAAGGGGTGTGGGTTTACTGATTGGACCTGAAAGGGATGCGGGTACCTGATTGGATCTGAAAGGGTTGGGGATACCAAATTGGATCTGATAGGGATGTGGGTACCTAATTGGATCTGATAGGGATGTGGGTACCGGATTGGATCTGAAAGGGATGTGGGTACCTGATTGGATATGAAAGGGTTGTGGGTTTACTGATTGGTCCTGAAAGGGATGTGGGTACCGGATTAGATCTGAAAGGGTTGTGGGGACCTGATTGGATCTGAAAGGGTTGTGGGTTTACTGATTGGACCTGAAAGGGATGTGGGTACCTGATTGGATATGAAAGGGATGTTGGTACCTGATTGGATCTGAAAGGGATGTGGGTTACTGATGGGACCTGAAAGGGTTGTGGGTTTACTGATTGGACCTGAAAGGGATGTGGGTACCGGATTAGATCTGAAAGGGTTGTGGGTACCTGATTGGATCGGAAAGGGATGTGGGTACCTGATTCGATCTGAAAGGGTTGTGGGTTACTGATTGGACCTGAAAGGGATGTGGGTACCGGATTGGATATGAAAGGGTTATGGGTACCCGATTAGATCTGAAAGGGTTATTGGTACCTGATTGGATCTGAAAGGGTTATGGGTACCTGATTTGACCTTAAAGGGTTATGATACTGGAGTGGACCTGAAAGGGTTATTGGAATCTGATGGGACCCAGTGAAAGGGTTATTGGTACCTGATTGGATCTGAAAGGGTTATTGGTTCCTGATTGGATCTGAAAGGGTTATGGGTACCTGTTTGGATCTGAAAGGGTTATGGGAACCTGATTCGAACTGAAAGGGTTATGGGTACCTGTTTGGATATGAAAGGGTTATGGGAATCCGATTTTAACTGAGAGGGTTATAGGTATCTGATGGGACCTGGAAAGGTTATTGGTTTCTTTTTGGACCTGAAAGGGTTATTATGGTACCTGATGGGACCTGAAAGGGTTATTGGTACCTGAATGGTAAGCTGTTGAATTACAGATTTGTTGACCTTTTGAAACTTTATTCTACAGAAAAATGCTTTTAAAAAGTTTTCTTTATGACCTTATCACTACAGTACTACTGAAAAGAACCTTGCCACTTACCTCCAGTTACAGATAGGGAGGTCTGACCGCTGGTCCCCGTCCCTACAGCGTTTGTAGCCGAGCACGTGTACAAGGTCTGGTCATTTGCTGCTGCGTTATTAATGGTCAGTGACGGAGTATTAATTGTAGATCCAGTATATTTGAATCCATCAATGCTCAGTTGGGAAGCCACTCCATTGTCTATACGCTGCCAGTATACAACAGTGTGACCAGGAGTAGCAGTGACTGTGCACACAAGTGTGATAGACTGACCAGTTGTAACTGAGTAAGTGTTCTGGGGAATTACCACAACAGGTAAACCTAGGATTAGAATAATATTCCATGTTAACATATATATAGAAAACAGGTAGTTCTATAGTTACTTTATAATTTTGAAGTTTGTTCAATAAATGTATGCCTTTGAACTTTTTTAATAAGAGACACTAGCAGAAAAGTGTAGGGTTAGGATTCTAATTCTAGTTAACATGACTAGTTTTGTAACACCACTTTACCTCACAAGTCCAGAGGTACGCTCACTTTCACTGTCTGCCCACCTACAATATGTCATAGCAAAATTGAAGGCACAGGGCTAGTTATTTGATTTGTCTTTGTAAGATTAGAGGGGAGTCTTCTTGTCTCATCCACAAAGGTGGCACACACTGAACCCTCAGATATTTTTTATATATATTCCAGGGATGCAGAGAGCGGAAGTAAGCGTTACCACTGGTGTATTGAGGATGCCCCTGCCAGAAAATAGCAGAAAGTGCTAGAATTGCTTTCAGTAGCTGGCACTAAAAATTGGTGTTAACCCTTGTTGTCAAGCCTGACGTTGTTAGAACCTGGTGTCGTATTATTCTACAGTGGATCCCATTTACTATGATATCGATTATTATGATAAACTGCTGATGATAATATTTGTTCCATGTACCAATTTTTTTCTTCTTTAAGCAAAACAAAATTGATTATTATGATATGGTCAAAGGTGGGACCCCTCTTATTATAATCATATTTTATTCTGCCATGATAGATTTTTATAAGGTAAAAACTCAGGTAAGTTGTCCAGTGTGTTACACAAAAAGTATTAACAAAACAAATACCATGACCTGTAGCACAGTGCATAAGCTTTGAATCCCTGTGGTGATGTTTTTGTGAAAAGGGAAATTATAAAATACTTTTGTAGTTTGTATACATTAATTGTTGTGTAACTCTTTGCTGGAATTAATCAACAAGCTCCAAAGTCACAAAAAATGCAGCACAAATTGGAATTCTTGGTCGAGAGCATGGACTCTCCATCATCATATTAATATTAATAATGAACCTTTGTTTAAAAATTCATAACATAATTCTTTCTTATATCTCGAACAAAATTCATAGGTTTTCAGATTTGTTTGAATTTAAAATATTCGACAGCAAACTTCTCATCAATGATAATTAACCTACTTCCTGTGACGGACAGTACAGTGTTGGCACTCTGTCCGGTTCCCACAATGTTGGTGGCGAAACAGATGTACACTCCTTGATCAGCAGTGTTTGCGTTATATACAATCAGGGATGGAGAGTTGGTGGTGGACCCGCCATAATTAAGTCCATCTATAAGGATGCTTTGGGGGACACCATTTTGGGTACGCTGCCAATAGACGGAGGTATGTGCGGGGTCAGCTGTTACAGTACATTCTAATGTGGCAGTCATGCCAGTCACAACAGAGTACGCGTTCTGAAGAATGTTCACAACAGGTACATCTGGAAAAAAAAAGAACAATGAGGAATAAATTTAACAGCCTGTATGTACCATGAAAAGTCAAGTTCAGTGACCACACCTAATACACCAACAAGTCATTCATACAAATTTGTAAAATGTTTATTGTGATCTGCCAAATAAATACAAATCTTTTTTTAAATTGTCACTCAATCATTTTGAATCCCTATACAAGTGTTAGTTTCAAATTTTGATATTTTAAAATACACCAGGTTTAAAATGTAGTTTTTCAATAAAACAAACAATATCTTAAAAACTTAATTGAACTTTTCGTTTTCTGATTAAAAAAAAAAAACAAAAAAAAAACAATGTCATTTTATAATGGAAAAATTTAAAACTACATAAATCATTGGAAAGTATCTTACAAAACAAAAATACTGTCAGGCTGGTCAGGTGATTAAATGAAATATGATAATACATGGTGCCAATACTGAACATTTTCCACAAACTATTGACCCATTGACCGACTATCGTCTTGCACATTTCCTCAGAATAACATAATAAACGAGACAGTTTTTTTGTATATATTGGGTTACTTATGTGAAAACACAAGAAATTATTTATTAGAATAAATTCTCAGAATTGAAGTTTAATTATTACAAACTAAGTAATTACTGAAATTATATTTTAAATTCAAACTGAAATACTTCCAATACTGCCGTTCTAAAAGAGACATACAAGATAACTTTTTTCATTCCTAAAAATACACAAAATATAATTATGCAGTTCAGTTTAGATACACTGTTACAAAATGGAAAAGGTTGACTAAAAAGACATCTAACTGGATTCTTAGATTAACAACCAATACCAAAACTATCTTGTGAAAAGGGTTGCTATATATATATACATGGGAAAAGGACAGTTAACGTAGCCATATATTACAGTACAGAACCATTTCACAGGTATACACTTGCATACCAGCAGCCATATGTTCCAATTTTGGCCGAATCATCACGAGTGTTCCTCTAACCTTTTGAAAACGCACGGCCGATATGCACTTTAATACCAACATTCTCTATACATTCTTAGACACCACAAAACACCACATGGTCCATCACCAAATACGACAGATTCCAAACCAAAGTAATGTTCATTATACAATATATATGTGTGAAAGTGGATACAACTCTACACAAGTCGTGTATAAATGACAAATGCCAACACTAAACTCCTGAAACCCAACCAAATATATTTTCTTACTTCCCGTAACAGAAACAGTTGTTTGTTCGCTAGTTCCTGTTCCAACAATATTTGTGGCGAAACACCTGTAAATTCCCTGATCTTCAGCTTGAGCATCTGTGATGTTCAGTGATGGTAAACCGACTTCGGATCCTGAATATTTGTTTCCATCAATAACAATACCAACTGTCTGGTTACTTTCTATGCGTTGCCACACCACTTTAGTGTGCTCAGGGTCAGCGATCACTGTACACTCTAGTGTGACTGTTTGTCCCGTGACAACCGAGTATGCTGATTTAGACAGTGTTACCATGGGAACATCTGGTAATAAACGTTACAACGTGAACTTTACATACAATATCACTAGAGCAATACAAGTTCAGAAGAGTTGTATTATAGAATGTATAAGAGTGTAGATATTAGCATATATTACAATGGTGCTGCAGTAATACTAGTTGACAAGCAAATGGGAGCCGATCATTACTTTGCTACAAACTTACGAAAAAGCATTTGGTAAAACCTACATTTATGCTGTCCCAAACAAAAACACTGACAGGTCAGCATGGGCCCTGCCATGTGCCTGACCATGTGCTCCCCCCAGTCTATTTTTAGTAGCAGTAACCTTTACCAGCTAGACCTTAGAAACTTTTAAAATCCCTACATGACCTCTACCTATCAGTGACATAACAATGTCAAATTTCAACTAGAATTGTGTCAGTGTGACATTAAAGCCGCTCACCACTTTAAATTTAATTGCTTCAGTAAGACGTCGAGCATCAATATCTTCTATAATACCTCAGATATGTGTTCTGTATTCTGCTAATTGAAAATCGGGTCATGTGATGATGTTGCCTTTGGGATTTCCAAAATCAATCACCTCCTAAATGATGCCTTAAAAACATTTCTCCCTCTCCTCTTTTTTCACCCTCTTTAAGTGTGACGCATTGTTGTAATTTTCATTAATCAGCATCCTCCAATGATGTGACATGAGCCTTTATGTGCAGAATGGCAATCAGTAAATGGATAATAAAGAATAATGGTGCATTTTGTGATTGTGAAATGAAGAATTAACAGTATGGGGGAAAAAATGCATGGAGAAAAGAGACATTGTACTCCTTTGATTTCTATTTATTATTTATTCATATTAATAATAATTATTAATATATGTAGTGACTTTATTTACTGTCATTGAATATACAAAATCTCACAAATGTTCTTGGAAGATATTTGAATTATATTTCTCAATGCGACTTGACCAACGTAAGAGTTATTTCCCTTACACCCGATTGGATAATATTTTGACACGGCGCGAATTCTTGTCAGACAGCAGCGGCAGTTGTGTCATGTTCTTAAATTGTTACTCTTTCAAAAATAAATACACCAGAAATGGCATGCTGTGTTACAGAAATGTTTGATAAGCATACACAGTTCACATATCGTCTCGTCTCAGAGCCATTACTGTTATCAACCTAAGCACGATATGTCATATTACGTTCCCGTTTGAAACATCAAAATAGAGGTTATACTTCATCACTTATACTGTTTATAAGTTTATATATTTACTTCTTCCTTCTACAGACAGTGTCAATGCTTGACAGTCTTCACATGTGCTTTCTCGAATCATATGTGTTTCATACGCGTAACACTCCTCAGACCTCAATCCGAGTTGCTAAAACGCTCAAACCTAGTCCTTGTTTTCAGCAATTATTTAAAGTATGGATTATTACTTGGAGAAGAGTATCAGAAGACTTTATGACACCCACAGTTGAGTGTCAGAGATTCTACTTTCTATTTAAGATAGCAAAACTATATAGCGGAAGTGGGTCCGTCATTTCGTTCTCTGGACAGAATTAATAAGCCGCTCGGCTCTCGCCAAGAGCGGCTTAAAAAGCTTAGACTTTTGGATTCGAGGATTGCAATGTTTGTATAGCTACTTGACCTTTGACCTAGTAACAGCAAACTCAGTATAGACCTTTCTCTTCTCATTGCTCATCAGCAATCCAAGTCCGTTTTATATTTGGTTTAAGGTTTAAAAGAAAGCTTCAAGAAACCAATACTTTCCTAAAATCTTGGTCCATTTATATAGCCATTGTGACATTTAATTTTGATAAAGCGGCTCAAACATCGATAGAATTTTTTCTCTTCCCTTGGAACATCATTCACTTAAAACTGACTTACTTATTATTGGTTGTTCCAAAGTTTTCTTAAACCAACATTTTTGCAAAATTTCAGTTTATTTATTGCTGCATGAATGACTTTGACCATGGATTTAGTTACCCAAAAATCTATTGTTATCTCCCCCTTCTCCCAGGAGACATCATCTTACCACGTGTAGTTTAATTCAGATATATTGGTCAAGAGACATCTTCTAACAAGAGTACTGCTGGGCGGAACAATATACGCCCGTTGAATGCCATATAGTGTTATATACTTCTAACATTGAAATAAGATCTGCATCATTCTAAGAGTGGTTAGCCGACATGCTATAAAAATGTAGGAGAAAATCTCTGGACAAAAAATCAAATACTGAAATGAACAAAGAGCAATAACTTTTGGGAAAATTATCGAATCAAAATTCTTTTAAGGGAGACACAACTGCATATCATGATTATAATGTATAACACTTTAGTGTCAAAGAGATCAGTCGAAAAATGTAGGGGGAGATTGCCGGACAAACAAAAGTGTACGCCGGCCAGACAACCCCATACGATAATACTTCTGTCAAATTTGACGGGCGTATAAAAACCTGTACTCTCCTTAAATTTTAGTCTCTTTATAGTCAATGTGACCTTGACCTTTGAAATAGTGACCCGAAGTTCAATAGGCTTCTTTCCCTACTCGTTGAGCATCTCTCACCCATATTTGGTTTACATATGACTGATTGTACCATAACATTAGGAAACCATTTGATTCGGACTCACATAGACACGGATGAATGAAGATATGAATACGACTTACCATAATATTAATATGCATACATTTCATGTATAGAACTTGTAGTTTAATACCCGATAAATTCTAAATCGGGGATGCACCATTACCTACCAATACCCTATTGACTAGCCTCGACTCTAATAGGGTGACCTATTTTGATTGATGATGATGGAATTTCAGTCTCAATCAACTTTACTTTGCTGTTGTTGGAATCTGTCAATCAAGCACCTCAAAGCTTAATTTTCCAGACAAGCAGTGTACACAAGACCAATATTAATATGCTCCCCATTTAAGGTTGCAGAAAAAGAAAAGCAAGAGATCCCAAATGGATCTTTAATTGGCTCGCTCCAGTTGGAAGATCTTCCTTGGTCTTGTACAAATTTGATCTGTTCTCTCCGTCCTCTAACATTTTAGACGGAATCATATCAACAGTCATGCATCCTTTGGTATCTTTTGTGCAAATTTAAACTTCCTTCTGCTGTATTTAATAGGGTGCTTTCACAGTGAGGTTTTTATTTGACCTATTTACTTTTATTTTTATTTCTGGTTAATCATATTATTATTCTAACCAAGCTGCTTTAAGCTCAAAATAAAATATGTGCAAACCTAAGGAACAGGAAGAACCTTATTACTTATGCAATATGAGAAAGATATTTAAGACATCTATATGTTGGCCATCTTTTTCTTTAACAAAGCTGAAAATGAAATATGATTAACAAAGAACCTAGTCAAGATGAGCTTAGATAGGTATCTTAAATGATCCCTCCAGTACTAAATTCTGAGAAACATAGAAAAGGTCTTTTAAGTACTTTAACAGTGAAATTTAAGACAGCTGTCACATATCCATCTTGTTTTTCTGTCCAGTCTCAAAATGAAATATGAATAACTAGGGACCAAGGGTAACCTACGTATGAGTTTCTGAGAAAAAGCAAGAGTCGAAATCCCTGAGGACTGCTTGGTGGCAATCTTGGTTTTCTGATAATTCAGTTGAAATAAGCACAACTAAGGGACCAATGGGAACTTGCTTACGAAATTTGAGAGAAAGACCTGTCAAACACTTGTTGAGAAACAATGATGACAAACTTGAACTATCAAAATCCAAAATGGTTTCCTAGCAGCCAACTTGTTCTTTCTGATCATTCTCAAATCATTCTCAATATGAAACAAGCACAGCTAAGTACCAAAGAAAACCTCATTTGAACTTAAGGAATTATCTCACTTACTCATTATGGTTGACTAAAACCAACTAAACTGTATTAACGGACTGATTTAACTATACCTCACAGACTAATGTCAATGAGTATAATTGGGATTAGCTTGCAGCACTTACTTCCAGTTATACTTAGAGAAGTCTGACCGCTGGTCCCCGTCCCTACAGCGTTTGTAGCCGAGCACGTGTACAAGGTCTGGTCATTTGCTGCTGCATTATTAATGGTCAGTGACGGAGTATTAACTGTAGATCCAGTGTATTTAGTTCCATCAATGCTCAGTTGGGAAGCCACTCCGTTGTCTATACGCTGCCAGTATACAACACTGTGACCAGGAGTAGCAGTGACTGTGCACACAAGTGTGATAGACTGACCAGTTGTAACTGAGTAGGCATTCTGGGAAATTACCACCACTGGAAGATCTAAAAAATACAATGTGATATGTTAGCTATATATTTTGTAGCTAAATGGGCACAAAGCCAATTTTCAGCAAAGGCATAGCTGTACAAGCAAAATACATGAAAGAAAAAAATCCACTTTGGAGCATTTTTTTCTTATTGGTATGATATGCATAGAAAATAATGCAACCAAAATCTTTTTTTTCTTTCTTTGAGTTATTTCCCTTGACAAATCTTACATTTCCTGGATATGAAAAAAGAAATGATGCGCAACAACACCACTGAATCCAGTACAAAATGTAATGTTTGATTTACATCCTACATCCTTACATCCTGGATATGTAGCAACATTGGCAAAGTGTAGGATTTGCAGTAGATTGGTCTGAAGTTTGACCCCTGAATTTGTTATGCTATTTTTTTCTCTCAAACACTTCAAAACGAATGTAACTCATTTTGAAATATGTTTGTTTTGGATGTAATGCATCTGTAGAAAATTCCCTAGCAGTGTCATTGGTAATAACATTTTAAGTGGATGACAAGCTTTACCTTATGGTCATACGCTACCTAAGGATCCCCGTCCTAATGCAGTCAATACAGTCGAGAGTTCCACTGTAGTTTTCCTACATACAGTAGTAATCTCCCTTTAATTTAATTTTAGATATAACTTTAGCTGAGCCAGAGTACTTCAACTGAACATGTACATGCAATTCAGGTGTTTAGATCAACAGTAAAATGTTTGGATTTAAAGGGTATCTTAAGTGAAAACTAGAAATATGTCAGAATTACATGAAAGTCACCCCATCATTCTGTATGATGATTTTCCGATAAATCATTGACCAAGCCACAACTGATATATTTCTACCTGTCAATCAAAATGGTAAACAATGACCAGGTGTAAATACATACACGCTGTTCAGGTAGCCTTGCCAACACATGGAATTAATAAGAAAGCATGTCGCAAATATAATGTTAGCGTTGACTGACACCTCGAATACGGGGAGATCTGCGCGCTGACACGGTCACCTGGCATGGGCAGAACAGGTAATTGGAATATAACGATGTTGTTTTCACAACAATAAGTTTCAGAAAAGATTTAATCTTATATATGGATAAATCTTTTATTTTTTTTGTAATGAAATACACTTTTTTTCCAAGTAGTTTTCTGATCGTCTGCAAATCCGACTGAATCGGTCATCGATATCGGCAGAGTGTGTTCGTTTAAAGGCAGTCACTCAAACAGGTCCGACGAGGACCGCCAACAGCTGAATTCACGAGACATGAAGAACACCAAACAATTGTGATTTCAGCAATTCTCCTTTGAAACTAAAAGATTAGAATGTATTTGGCTGTTTTGAACCCATTAGCATTTATTTTCCAAACTCAAAATTTTATCATTATCGGTTCAATTCGCATGGATGTCACCTTGTAAATTCCTGCCGGTTAATAGTATCCCGCGACCTTGACTCTTGACGACATTTTAACCCCAGAGTGCTAAATGCGATGCAATTATTCGTTATGTTTCCCCATACGTGGTATTATCAATTCACAACGTAACGTCCTGAAAAGTTGGGCGTACTTTACTCGAGTTTATTTATCCGATTCTATCGTATAATATGACTTAAACTTGCAACTTTTCGTAATTGTTAAATTGGCAATGCAATCAGAGGTTATTCAACTAAATTTAACAGTTTATTGCTGCGAGCATATTTCAAAATAATTCCGAAAATCCTCGAAAAATTCACAATAAATGGTCGCAACCAAGGACTGGATTTTTATTGTTCTCGAGTATCCTGTACAACCCTTTCTTGACACTTCATTTTTCCTTAAAAAAGTGTGCACTATACGCAAATATTAACGGTAGTCAATGGTCAGACATATAATATGACAGTTTACCCCTTCGGGAACCTCAAAGGTGCCCGATTCATACTTGGAACATCTTTAGGTTATATGTAATTCCCGTGTGAAATTTGGAACGCCTTTAGGTTTTATGCTATTCCTGTTTAAAAAGGAAATTGATACCCGAGTTATTCAAGAGCTTGTAATTAGCGCCTGGTATATTCAGACAGAAGCACACACTTAACAGCCCAAGACAACAGAGGTCAAAATCTGGGACTGAAACCGAAATTAATAGTCCCCACTGGGGTTCCCCCAGGGGTGACTAAAAATATACTTACTGCCAGTAACAGCCAGCGTAGTCTGAGCACTTTGTCCTGTCCCTACAATATTCGTTGCAAAGCATGTATATGTCCCCTCATCTGCGTTGTTAGGGTTGTACACTATCAGGCTAGGAGAGTTGACGGTTGAGCCACCATAGTTGCTTCCGTCGATGACAATATTGGTCGTGACACCATTGGTGATTTTCTGCCAGAACACTGTGCTGTGAGCCGGGTTAGCCGTCACAGTACACTGTAGTGTAACATCGGTGCCAGTGATTACCGAGTAGGAAGGCTGAGCAATCTGCACAACTGGGATACCTGGGGAGGGAAATTCAAACTCATTTAAAATTATTTCAATTTATTTTGTTCCGATATTAGTGTTCTGATATATTTGCACTTATTTAGGGGCTGGTAATAAACGGCAAATTAATTCTGATAAAAGTAAGTTTTCTCAATAGTAACCAAGCTCTTTCCAAGGCCTACAAAATTGGTATTTGTAACAGCATAGTTTTTACATATTTCAACAGCAATGGGTTTTTAATGGTAATGAAATGTCCTATTATTCATAACTTTGATGCAAGTTTAAACACTGTTTTGGTTAGTCTCTTTCAATACATTGATTAATGATTAAAGGAGGTGGGTCTAAAGATGTATTTTATACTTAACAGCAAATTCAAATGTGCATGCATTTGATGTCTATATAAAAGAAACCAGTACACAACAATATCGTAGGGAACAGTGATGCTTCCCTAATGGAAGACCTGCTATATTTATAAGTATATTCATTATACAAACCAAGTGTAGAAAGCTATAAAACATTGTAAGATAAATGAAAGCAAGTGATTCCTATAGAATCTTTCCTAGAAACTTTCTCTAGAATCTTTCCCTTGGGCGTCAGGTACTAATAAGTCTATTCAAACCCATGGGATGAAACTTCATAGAAAACAGGGAGTTTACTGAGGTCTTTCTTCAATATTTCACACCAAGGGTTCAAGTCATCTGATCATTACCACGATCTTACAATCAAAAAGCAACAAAATATTCCATAAAAGCAACAAAAATCAGTGCCAGTCAGAGAGATGGAAGTGTTCCTAGCTTGTAATGGGACTTGTAATGGGACTTTTGTAGGATTTTTGATTCAATTGTGATGAAGACCTGTGGGTCAGATAGAATTTTCCAGCATATAGGACTTGGGAAATTCAAGTTTAGTGGTCTGGAAACCATGTTTCTTTTGTATTATTTTGGGTCAAGCAAGAAACCATAATCTGATTGTGGATGACAGTAGCATTAGAGGACCAATTTGTAAACAGCATTTCATTTATAAATTCTATGACAGACGGGTGATGAAGACTGATTTTGTGTTAGCAGGTCTGTAGCAGAGCTTGCTCTTACTTCCAGTCACAGTCAACGTGGTTGTGGTACTCGTTCCTGTTCCGACGGCGTTGCTGGCTGAACATGTGTACGAGCCCTGGTCAGATGCCGCTGCACTGGTGATGGTCAGTGATGGGGTGTTTGGAACAGAGCCCTGGAACTTAACTCCATTAATAGCTATTGTGTTAGTTCCACCATTCACTGTGCGCTGCCAGGAGACTTGTGTATGTGTAGGGTCAGCAGTGACGGTACAAACCAAAACAACAGTTTGCCCAGTGACGACAGAGTAGGATGGCTGGGCAATAGTTACCACGGGGGTACCTGGATAATGTAAATTTGAATATTAATTGCCAAATCTGGTTACTCAAGGTGAAACAGTATAGAAAATGTGACGAAATGAAATTTTGTTAGGGCTAACTTTCGTAAAAAGAGCAAAACTCCAATGCTAATGGCCGTATCAAAACACTTATTGCAAGTGTACTACTGCAGATTGTGTTGATCAGTTTCATGAACTTCAGCTAAAAAACTGTAGATACACAAAGGAAGGTAGGTGAATAAAGCGTTTTGCCTTCTTGCCTCTAGTGGAAAAACGTTATAAGATTTAAGAACACCAAGAAAACTTTGTCTTGTGTCAATGTCTCGATATGAATTGTTCATAAGGAGTTACTAATTATGTTTTCATGACCACACCTTTAAGTGGAAATAACCTTTTCAAACAAAGGTACAAAAATAATGTTGATAAAAAAGTGGTCAAAAACAATTTAAATGATGACCTGGATGAATGAAATTTAAAATTTAGATAAAACACCTAAGGACCATTCCAACAATGAAGAGTATTCATTTCTATTTACCAAATTCTGAAAAGATTTGTTTTGAAATTTAAGCCAATTCCTTTCAGGCTCTGCCCTGGCCCTTGAATGTGGGGGCAGATAAAAACTCCCATTTTACAAATCAATACTATCTTCCACCTAGGACGATTCCTACCAAGTTTAACAGAAATCAATGCAATGGTTCTTAAAAAGAAATCATAATGTAAAAAGTTTATGGATGACAGAATCGAACATAAGGAAAGAAATTACAATAGCTCATTTTATCCTTTGGCTCAGCATCAAATGATTATTCCAGCATGCTATTCATTGCAAAATATCCTAGATGGTCCTCTTGCTTAATCAGAAAAAGGTGTTAAAAGGCAAAGTTAATGACGAATGGATGACGGATGGCACACCATGACATAAACTCAATACCAGATCGATGACCGATGGCACACCATGACATAAGCTCAATATATACCAGATGGATGACCAATGGCACACCATGACATAAGCTCAATACTGGATGGATGACCGATATGGTACACCATGACATAAGCAAACAAACTAAATTTCTGACCATGTCTGAAGATAAATATTTAGTTAAAATATACTAAGGATGCAGGATTTTGCGACTATAGTTAAATTTTTGTCTAGGGGAGAGGAGACGCCTTATATTCCCATTGCAGTCTCACAGGCTTTTTCCTGCACATTGATGCTTTGCTTATCAACCACCTTATCAACAACAGTTAAGGAGAAGGTTTTATTTTAAAAGCAACCCCCTCCCACACTCTTATCTTTTTAAATCTGTCCCCGAGTACAATACCATAAAAAAATAGAGTTCCTTACTTCCTGTGACAGTGAGGGTTGTGGTAGTACTGGTTCCGGTTCCTACAATGTTGGTAGCAGAGCAGGTGTAAGTGGCCTGATCACCGGCAGCAGCGTTGGTGATTATGAGGTCTGGATTGTTTACTGTAGAGCCTTGGTACTTGGAGCCATCAATGGTCAGAGTGGTGGCAACTCCATTGATTGTGCGCACCCAGAACACAGCAGTGTGGGCTGGGTTGGCAGTAACCGTACAACCCAGAGTGGTTGTCTGACCGGTAACTACAGAGACCTGGGCCTGGTCAACATTGACCACTGGAATACCTTTAATAAAATATCACGTAATGATGAATCATATTTAATTTCTAAAAAGATCATATACTTCAAAATACATGCTAATGATACATCTAAAACATTATACAGCTTTAAACCAAAGTTGCCTTATATAACGTTTAAACACAGCATACATGTATATGAACCAAAACTACATCACAGAATAGAATGAAGATCACACCTCAGCAGACATACTATACATATTTGCTTAGGATTAAGGTAGCATACTTATATGTTCTTTTCCATTTTTAAAACCTGATGAAATATGCATGTTTCATATCACACTTCAGCAAGAATGTCTATTGGTGATGTATTCATTCTTCACAGTTTCAATGGGAAACACTGAAGAAGTCAATTGTACGTAATATTAATCCTTGGCACTTGTAAATCTACAACCCTTTACATAGTTTGAACAGACTTACATTCTACTGTGTTTTAAGACAAAACTTTACAAGAAATGAACATGATCGACACTTACAACTTCCTGTGTTGAAAAAAATATTTTTTTATAAGACTGATCACGACACTTTCAATTTCCTGTGTTCTAAACAAAACATGGCATGGCTTGCCTTGGTTTTTATATCTGATCATGTTTTACACAGTAAGTACAAAAGCTAACTATGTCAACACCATGTATGAGCATCATCCCCTAGGGCCTTCAATACCCAAGCTACAAAGAAGCCTAGGAGAATACAACAAAAGCTTCAAAGCAATAGATATATTTCTGCAGTAATCAAGCATCTACATAAGTTTATCATGCTTAATATTGGCCCTATTGATCACATGCCAGTGACTAACTTGTTCTATTATTCCAATATCACTTTGTCTGGAGATTAGGTTGCACTCCTTAAACATGACAGCTTTACAGATGTACTGCATGTGTGGCCATTGGAAGCCACAGCTATATCTATTAATGATAGATCTTCAATAGCAGTCTAGTCAATGGCATGTGATGAACAGAATCTTACACTAGTATCCATCTGATATAGGGTCAGTTAAAATCATCTGATGATGGTGAACTTTAAAAAGGCACTTGCCGAAAGGATGACATTTACAAAATTAGACATTTTTTTTGACAACTCCATATCTGATGAACAGTTTTGTAAGATATTTAAGAAAAGAGCTAAAAGCAGTCTTACTTCCTGTGACAGTAAGTGTGGTCTGGCTACTACTTCCAGTTCCCACAAGACTAGTGGCAAAACATGTATACAATGATATGTCGGCACTGTTGGCATTGCTGATGGTCAGAGATGGATTATTAACAGTCGATCCACTGTATTTGACACCGTCTATGCTAAGCGTGGTTTCTACGCCTGAATCTTGGCGCCGCCAAAACACTGCAGAATGAGCAGGATCAGCCGATACTGTACACTCCAGTGTGACCGACTGTCCAGTGGTAGCTGTATATGAAGGTTCCACAATTGCTACTACTGGAAGACCTACAGATACAAGAAAATCCATGCAGCATGCAATAACTCCATAACTGCAGACTTGTTCACTTAAATTGCTAGGGAAAGGGAATCTCTTAATTATAACTTTTCTTTTAAAAATTTATAAAACAGACCAAATAAGAATGTCCAGAAAACTAAAATGTAAAAACATGACTTCCTTACTTCCAGTGATTGTGAGGGCAGTTTGATCAGATCCTGTCCCCACTAAATTAGTAGCGGAACATATGTAAGTGCCCTCATCTCCAGCATCACTATTTTGTATGGTAAGGGAAGGGAAGTTTACTGTTGATCCTTCATATTTGACTCCGTCAATGGTGAGGGTACTTGTGACTCCATTTACCACTAGTTGCCAGGAAACTTGTGTGTGTGTGGGGTCAGCCACAACATTACAACCCAGAGTGACTGACTGACCAGTCACTACAGAGTATGACGGCTGTGAAACTGTTACTTCAGGGAGGCCTAAATAAAAATGGGTCACGTTAAGTTATACATATAGCTGATCCAGTGTTAATTGCTATATAGATCTTTTATGCTCTTCGTTTTATTTGACATCTTGCTTACCACCAATATATCCTGTTCCATTTTTTGTTTCTCTCTTAATGTAATGTAATGTAATGTTTATGTCATACTGTGTACTATATATATTCACCATACAGGTGCCCCTTATCATTGTTTATGTCATACTGTGTACCATATTCACCATACAAGTGCCCCTTATCATTGTTTATGGTCCAGGCAGCCCATCCCTTCATCATAATTTACCGACATCATTAAACAAGAGGCCCATGGGCCTGAACGGTCACCTGACATCCGTTTCAAATTAGGTCCGTCGGTCCGAGTGACCTTGCTGCATCGTCCATTAATTTTTCCTTGTGAACACAAGAACTTCAGTAAATATGAACCGATTGTGATGAAACTTTGTATGCAGCTTTGTATCAATGAGATCTTGGATGAGTTTGAATACCGGACCAATTTGACCATAACTTACATAGTTATTCATCACTCTTTGTTAACATTTACTCAAGTTATTGTCTTCACAGGGACAAATAATAATGTAATGACAAAGGGCAATAACTCTGCAAGTTACCGCCAAATAATTACCGTTCTCAACTTGTCCGAGATCTTTTAGATGTAACACTGCGGACAAAGTTTCATTGAACTCCGTCAACATTTATTCACGTTATCGTGTTTACAAGGTCCAATAATAATATTATTACAATGGGCAATAACTCTGTAAGTTACTGTCAAATAATTCCCAGTTTCAAACTAATCCGAAATCTTATTGATATAAGGCTACACACAGAGTTTCATCAAACTTGGTTGATATTTACTCAAGTTATCATGAACACAATGTCCAATACAAAATAAGTGTAATAATATTATTACAAAGGGCAATAACTCTGTAAGTTACTGTCCAATAATTCCCATTTTCAAACTCGTTCAGAGATCTTATTGATATATGGCTGCATACAAAGTTTCATTACACTCGGTTAACATTTACTGAAGTTATCGTGTTCACAAGGAAAGGTTAACGCACGACGGATGACGACGGACAAAAGGCTATCACAATAGGTCACCATGACCTATGGTCAGGTAACCTAAAAACACAATCTCTTTTTATCTATCTATCAGATGTTCTAAGCTTTTAACTAGTTTAAATATGGTCCGTTACTACAGTTGACATGTCACTGAATTGTTATAATGGGTCAAACAACCTTTTTAATAGATAATCGTAATACTTCCTTAATGTTGCTGGACTAAAAACACAAACACTTCTATAAATAAATCAAATAATCATAGCTGAAGTTTCATTAGTATCCTCCAAGGAACAAAAGCAGCCAACAAAGTCTAATTAGGAAACCACATGCAAACATACATAGAGGCAACAAATAAGAACATTCTAAGCAGGCAGATCTATAAAAAGCAAATGCATATTGGAATATATTTCTGACTGCAATATAATTATGTGTTAGTACTATACTGTATAACATGAAATATTTGTGGGCATTTTCTTTTCTGGCTTGAAGCCATGAGGATCGTTTCGTGGTACAAACTTTTGTGGATACTTCAATATAAAGTATGAGTAGTCGAGTATATAAATTAAATTTGTTGTATTTATTTTCGTGGTTCCTTAATTTGTTGTATTTATTTTCGTAGTTCCTAAATTTGTTGTATTTATTTTCATGGTTCCGTACATGTAGCTACCACCAAAACCACGAATAGTTATATACAATGAATATTTCATCTTATACAGTATTGCAACTAGTTCTACACATTACTAGTATACTCGTCTATAATCATCTAAAACATGAGCTAGCTAACACAAATCACAGGAATAACTAACACTAAAGGATTTCCTGAAGAGAAAACAGAATGATTAGAAGGAGCAGTCTTTTCCTTACTTCCTGTGACAGTGAGGGTTGTGGTAGTACTGGTTCCGGTTCCTACAATGTTGGTGGCAGAACAGGTGTAAGTGGCCAGATCCCCGGCAGCAGCATTGGTGATTGTGAGGCTAGGACTGTTTACTGTACCACCTTGGTACTTGTTGTTATTGATGACGACATTGTTGGTAATTCCATTGATTGTGCGTTGCCATAAAACTGATGTGTGGGCTGGGGAAGATGCTACTGTACAACCCAGAACCACCGTCTGGCCGGTGACTATGGAGTACTGGACTTGACCAATAGTTACCACGGGAATACCTGAAAATATAAAACAGGAAGCAAATAAATGTACACATAAAAAACTTTAAACGAACCAATATCATTACAACTACAACATAAATAATGAGTTTGTACTTCAATTTCATTTTCTTAATTTTCCTGTATCAAAATAAATTGAGCCTTCTAATGGATAAATGAACCAATTTTTTAATCAATATAATTGTCTACTGCAAGATTCACTGGATTGTATCTCTCATCTGTCATGGATATGAACAAGCATATTACTTAGCATGGGTTTATTGCTATTATAAATATGACAGGTTGACCTAAGGTAAAAAACATGTGGTACTAAACCTCAAAACATCTAGTTAAAATTGTGTCAAATAAGGATTGTTTACATCTGAAAATCATGTCACCATCAACTCAATATTTGTTATGACAAACATGAACCAGTGAAGTGGAACATAGAATCCCTTATAATTACTTGCCGTTATTGTTAGACTAGTTTGACCACTGGTTCCAGTTCCCACAGCATTTGCTGCTGAACATGTGTACACTGTGTTGTCATTGCTACCAACATTGGTGATGGTCAAGGATGGATTATTGACCGTGGATCCAGAGTATTTGCTTCCATCAATGGATATTGAGTTAGCCACACCATTGTCTATACCATATACATGCCATAACTTTCTGGTACAAATTAGTGAGATCAGGGATTTTTTTTAGTGAGATTTGGTCAAAAATAATGAGATTTTACTCTGAATTAGAGAGAAATTTGTGAGACATTTTAAACATAAGTTATTCTGCATATAACATAGTATTAAATCATTTTTGCTATTCTGAAGCCTCCAATTACTTTGTTAGAACCAAAACCCAAGATTTTAACGATATTTATCAGGATTTTAGGGAGGTTTACACATGACATACAGTCCAGATAAAACTATCAACATTTAAAAGTAAATATGTCACAATACTTCCATCAAAGGCAAAAAAAAAGAATAATGAAAAAAAGTAAACCTTGTGTCCGGTTTCAATTTTATAGTCACCTCCAACATTTTCATTTCGGTAAACCATGTTTTAGATTGTAATGAATTAAATATCAGCTCTTATGTTGCTGTTTAATGTTTATATCAACTGTCATCACATATTAATTAGCAACTAGCTCTGACTGGATGGGTGATCCCTGATTTAATTGCTTAACATATACAGTTCACACATCAGTGAGCAAGTCACCAAACCATGTGCTGCCAATTCAGGCATTCACCAATTTCACACCTAGCTGCTAATTGGCCAGTAGTTTAAGTGGCTGGTGTGTGACTTAAGACCTCTCAGTGACCAAGCTCAGTGTGAATTAATCCATGTAGCTATTGTTTATTCACCAAGATTATCCAAATTTTGCTTCTTTTCACAAGACCAATTGAAATTCATGAAAATGTGTCTCCTGGCATGAGTTTTTTTCTGAAGCAATTTTCGCGAGTCTCACGGCAAAATCATAAGATACGGCATGTATGCTATACGCTGCCAGAAAACATTGGTATGAGTAGGTGAGGCAGACACTGTACATGCCAGTGTGACCGACTGTACCCTGTACCCCGTACCCCGTACCCCGTACCCCGTACCAAGTGTGACAGACTGTCCTGTGACAACTGAGTAGGATGGCTGGGCAATGGTGACCAAGGGTAGACCTGTGTGATGTAACAGAGATGATTGATACAATTTAATTGTAAAGAAAACACATGTGCAGCAACAAACCTGGACGTTCTTTAGTTGGTTTTCACATTGTTATGTCAAATAGCCAGTGATATGTGTGGGTATTACCAACACACAGTTATTTCAGAGTGTATTGTAGCCAGTTCCGGTTAGAATTGTATTAGCCAAAACAGAAAGTTAACCTATGGTTCAATATGACCTTGGGTTTAAGGACTTCCCACCCTTTGTTATACACATGTTTTTCTCTTGTCTTCATTTGCTTAAAGTTAAAAGTTCACTGATGTCAGTTTTTAGTGATGAATAATGTTGGTAAAAAAACTGATGTTACAAAGACAACCACTATTATATCCAGGTGTCACATCAGTGATGATCACTGCTTGTAAATGTAGGTCTGTGGACATTTTACATGAAAAGCAGCTTTCGACACCATGATGTAAAAAGAAAAGAAGTAAAGTGATAATTCATTCAAACAGCTCAATGGTTACAAGGATTCAGGATTTTTAAAAAGACAGACTAGTTAGATTTGTATCTGAATTTTACTGGAGAACAAGTCAGATTACACATGAAATGTATTCAGTACTATTCTACATTGGCCTTACTTCCTGTGACACTGAGTGTGGTTTGACCACTGGTTCCAGTTCCCACAGCATTTGTTGCTGAACATGTGTACACTGTGTTGTCATTGCTACCAGCATTGCTGATGCTCAAGGATGGATTATTGACCGTGGATCCAGAGTATTTGCTTCCATCAATGGATATTGAGTTAGCCACACCATTGTCTATACGCTGCCAGAAAACGTTGGAATGGGTAGGTGAGGCAGACACTGTACATCCCAGTGTGACTGACTGTCCAGTGACTATTGAGTAGGTGGTTGCACCTATAGTGACCACAGGTATACCTGTTTGTGACAGAGATGATTGAACATTGATTGTGATAATCTGCAAACTAGAACTTCAAGTGTGATGTTTTTTCCCGTGTAGAAAGTTCCTTTCATCAATAAAACAGAGTAACATTACCAATAAAGCACCATGGCCAATAGACATGTCCGCAGCCTGTTCCAATATCGTGACCCAAATAAAAACACCTATTCATACTCTAGTTGCTTAAATTTTGAATAATCAACAAGAAAAACAGAGAAAGATACTCCCCACTTACGTTTTCAATGTTTCTTGAGCAGAAATTAAAATTTCAAGGGCCTTAACTCTAGGGACAAAGTACTTCCACTGAGTCAAGGTACAAAAAACCCCAACAAACTAGGTGTCGGGTTATGAAGATCATGGACAGCGAGACAAATGGACAGACTGAGGGACGGAGAAGGTGACTCCTATGTAACACCCCCCACCAACATTATTTGCGGGGGTAAAATAAATGTTTAAGGGAAAATTGATGATTGACAAATAAACAGCTTACAAAAGATAAAGGAAGTGCTATCTCTCCACACCTTATCCGATTGAAAGTTGATGGTCCACTGATGTCAGTTTTTAGTGATGAATAAATTAAACCAAGAAACTAACGTAACAAAGGCAATCAATATCATACCCAGGTGTCACATCAGTGATGATCACTACTTGTAAATGTAGGTCTGTGGACATTTTACATGAAAAGCAGATTTTGACAAAGTGATGTAAAAAGAACAAGAATAAAGTTAGAATGATTCAGGATTTTTGAAAAGAGAGACTAGTCAGATGTATCTAAATTTTACTGGAGAACCAGTCAGATTACACATGAAATATATTCAGTACTATTCTACATTGGCCTTACTTCCTGTGACACTGAGTGTGGTTTGACCACTGGTTCCAGTTCCCACAGCATTTGTTGCTGAACATGTGTACACTGTGTTGTCATTGCTACCAGCATTGCTGATGGTCAGGGATGGATTATTGACTGTGGATCCAGAGTATTTGCTTCCATCAATGGATATTGAGTTAGCCACACCATTGTCTATACGCTGCCAGAAAACATTGGAATGGGTAGGTGAGGCAGACACTGTACATCCCAGTGTGACTGACTGTCCAGTGACAACTGAGTAGGTGGGTGCACCTATAGTGACCACAGGTATACCTGTTTGTGACAGAGATGATTGAACATTGATTGTGATTATCTGCAAACTAGAACTTCAAGTGTGAAGTTATTTCCTGTGTAGAAAGTTCCTTTCATCAATTAAACAGAGTAACATTACCAATAAAGCACCGTGGCCAATAGACATGTCCGCAGCCTGTTCCAATATCATCACACAAAATAAAAACACCTATTCATACTCTAGTTGCTTAAATTTTGAATAATCAACAAGAAAAACAGAGACAGATACTTCCCACTTACGCTTTCAATGTTTCTTGAGCAGAAATTAAAATTTCAAGGGCAATAACTCCAGGGACAAAGTATTTCCACTTTTCAAGGTACAAAAAGCCCAACAAACTAGGTGCCGGGTTATGAGGATCAAGCTGATGGTCCACTGAAGTAAGTTTTTAGTGATGAATAAATTAAACCAAGAAACTAACGTAACAAAGGCAATCACTATCATACCCAGGTGTCACATCAGTGATGATCACCACTTGTAAATGTAGGTCTGTGGACATTTTACATGAAAAGAAGATTTTGACAAAGTGATGTAAAAAGAACAAGAATAAAGTTAGAATGATTCAGGAATTTTGAAAAGACAGACTAGTTAGATATGTATCTGAATTTTACTGGAGAACAAGTCAGATTACACATGAAATATATTCAGTACTATTCTACATTGGCCTTACTTCCTGTGACACTGAGTGAGGTTTGACCACTGGTTCCAGTTCCCACAGTATTTGTTGCTGAACATGTGTACACTGTGTTGTCATTGCTACCAGCATTGGTGATGGTCAGGGATGGATTATTGACTGTGGATCCAGAGTATTTGCTTCCATCAATGGATATTGAGTTAGCCACACCATTGTCTATACGCTGCCAGAAAACATTGGAATGGGTAGGTGAGGCAGACACTGTACATCCCAGTGTGACTGACTGTCCAGTGACAACTGAGTAGGATGGCTGGGCAATGGTGACCAAGGGCAGACCTGTGTGTTGTAACAGAGATGATTGATACAATTTAATCGTTAAGAAAACATATATGTGCAGAAACAAACCTGGACGTTCTTTAGTTGGTTTTCACATTGAAATAACTGTGTGTTGGTAATACCCACACATATCACTGGCTATTTGACATAACAGAGTGTATTGTAGCCAGTTCCGGTTAAAATTGTATTTTGCGAAAACAGAAAGTTAACCTATGTTTCAATATGACCTTGGGTTTAAGGACTTCCCACCCTTTGTTATACACATGTTTTTCTCTCGTCTTCATTTGCTTAAAGTTAATATTTCACTGATGTCAGTTTTTAGTGAGGAATACAGTTGGTAAAAAAAATGATGTTACAAAGACAACCACTATTATATCCAGGTGTCACATCAGTGTTGATCACTGCTTGTAAATGTAGGTCTGTAGACATTTCACAAGAAAAGCTTTCAAAACAATGATGTAAAAAGAAAAGAAGTAAAGTGATAATTCATTCAAACAGCTAAATGGTAACGATTCAGGATTTTTAAAAAGACAGACTAGTCAGATATGTATCTGAATTATACTGGAGAACCAGTCAGATTACACATGAAATGTATTCAGTACTATTCTACATTGGCCTTACTTCCTGTGACACTGAGTGTGGTTTGACCACTGGTTCCAGTTCCCACAGCATTTGTTGCTGAACATGTGTACACTGTGTTGTCATTGCTACCAGCATTGCTGATGGTCAAGGATGGATTATTGACCGTGGATCCAGAGTATTTGGTTCCATCAATGGATATTGTGTTAGCCACACCATTGTCTATACGCTGCCAGAAAACATTGGAATGGGTAGGTGAGGCAGACACTGTACATCCCAGTGTGACTGACTGTCCAGTGACAACCGAGTAGGATGGCTGGGCAATGGTGACCAAGGGCAGACCTGTGTGTTGTAACAGAGATGTTTGATACAATTTAATCGTTCAGAAAACATATATGTGCAGAAACAAACCTGGACGTTCTTTAGTTGGTTTTCACATTGAAATAACTGTGTGTTGGTAATACCCACACATATCACTGGCTATTTGACATAACAGAGTGTATTGTAGCCAGTTCCGGTTAAAATTGTATTTCGCCAAAACAGAAAGTTAACCTATGTTTCAATATGACCTTGGGTTTAAGGACTTCCCACCCTTTGTTATACACATGTTTTTCTCTTGTCTTCATTTGCTTAAAGTTAATATTTCACTGATGTCAGTTTTTAGTGAGGAATACAGTTGGTAAAAAAAATGATGTTACAAAGACAACCACTATTATATCCAGGTGTCACATCAGTGTTGATCACTGCTTGTAAATGTAGGTCTGTAGACATTTCACAAGAAAAGCTTTCAAAACAATGATGTAAAAAGAAAAGAAGTAAAGTGATAATTCATTCAAACAGCTAAATGGTAACGATTCAGGATTTTTAAAAAGACAGACTAGTCAGATATGTATCTGAATTATACTGGAGAACCAGTCAGATTACACATGAAATGTATTCAGTACTATTCTACATTGGCCTTACTTCCTGTGACACTGAGTGTGGTTTGACCACTGGTTCCAGTTCCCACAGCATTTGTTGCTGAACATGTGTACACTGTGTTGTCATTGCTACCAGCATTGCTGATGGTCAAGGATGGATTATTGACCGTGGATCCAGAGTATTTG